TTCAACTGCGTGAAACACACAGTAGTATGAAACTTCAACTGCGTGAAATACACAGCAGTATGAAAATTCGGCTGCGTGAAACACACAAACTTCACGCATGCGTGGAGTGTATGGAGTGTACGGGAGTGATTCACGCAATGGTGCGAATAGTCACGGCCTAAATTGATTGTTTGTACTATTATACCAACCGCATTTTTCATTCACTATTAAAAATTTTCATCAGAATGTTTCATGTCAAATTCCGGAAATTTTTATCGCTTTCAAGTTCCACTGAAATTTCCGGAAACATTGTCATTGAAAAATCAAATATTCCATTGATTTTCTGTTCAAATGATTTGAAAATCAATAAAATACTTGATTTTTCCTTTCAATTATTCCGTGAAAATTCAGAAAAATCAGGGAAGTGCAGGAATAAATTGAAAATTCATGTCATTTAGTTTCTGAATATTCATGTTTCACTGAAAATTCAAACAAGTTGTGAAATTTCCGTCCCACTCCCACTGAAAACTCATGAATTTCCTTAAATTCTACCTAGAACTTGGGATTTCATAACCATTTTTACTCTAAATCTGATTCAATGTCAATCTCGCGGGAATTACTATCACATTTTCCATGAAATTCCAAGAAAATTCTAACAGTGTACTATCGAAATAATTTTGTACCCAAAATGTAAGGAATCTGACCATGATTACTGGACTATACATAACTCCAATACCACTAAAGTGGGCCCTTTCCATCCGGACGCCCACAAATAATCGTTCTGCATTCAACACCAAAATATTTGACTCAAGAGGCGGATCATTCCCACGAATTGCCACCTTTTCAGGATGAAAATATCCCTCATAAAGTGGAGGTAATCGAGAAATATTTTGTTACTAAGTCACAGGATTGCCATCATATCTTCATGATTATTCTACTTCAGAATTAGATTCTTACGTTTGAGTATTGGATAGTTAAAACCGTACAAATATCCTTCCTTCCTTCGCATACAACACGTACGGTACTATAGAATAACGAATACGGAATGATAGAAATACAATTTCTTGCTTGCGTTGAAAATCCCCATTTTTTTTTTGAACAACTAAATCTATATGTGGAAATTTTCATTTTGCGATTTTTTTGGTTCAAACAAGATCCCTTTTAAACCATATGTTTTGTTGTTCTCTCAGTGTATCCTGCATTATTTCTCTGAATCCAAATAATGAATATTTATATTTAGTAATAAATATTTATAAAAAATTGCTCAAATGAAACTATTTTTTACTGCAATTAAATAGTAGCTATCACATTATGATTTGAATGAACACTGGTGATTAAATAAATACAGAATCGAGTAAAAATTATGAACAATCAATGTCATATAATGAGAAGAATAAAAAATTTTGGGTAAAATGATCTTTTGTATTTTGAAAAGACATTGGAAAATATTTCAATCACTGAATTTATGAAATAGCTATTTCCAACTGACCCTCCAACTTCGTAACTTCTATCGTCAGGGTTTTTGTGTACCTCAGAACATCAATAAAAGCCTGAAAGGGTCTATTGAACATTTCATGACACGAGTCAAGGCTTTTTCAATGAATGAACTTGAGAGTGTGACATTCTGATAGTAATTCAAATAGCGATAAGAGGATTTATCCCAACTGTGCGGAAATGTAATGATTTCGTTATCTCAATTAAACAGGATCCCAAGCTGAAATCACTCGTGTCAATGGGAATTCAGGACAGCTTGGAGGACAAAACCATTACAATCTGCTATGCCTCGGACTTTGTTAATGTAACATTTATAAATTTCTGTGCAACAAGAGCGGAAATTGCACGGCATTGGACAGATCAGTTGCTTCAACTTGCATACAATTTGACCCAGTTGAACAGTAGTACAACAATGTTTTTGCAGAAAGCCCATACAAAACTTGTACTCGGGGCTGATAAGACGGGAAAAATACCGAGTAAAAAGTGAGTTATTTATTTCAATGAAGATAAATAGGGAAAAAATCCAATGGTTTTTATGATATGTGGCTTGTTCATGATTTCAGCATCATAAAAATGTTCACATCAAACAAGGAGGACAGAAAACGAGTAGAGAAGGCACTGGAGAATACGTCGCTGCCATCGGGAAAGGTAAGCTCACATGAATCTCACCCAAGAAGTCCTTTATTTGAATTAAACATGGTTTTTTAAATATAATAAACAACCGTTTCGGTGGTTTAAATGAAGACTTTATCAATTTGAAACGAAATAATTGAATTTATTAACATGCCATGATCCTCAATTTGGGACGAATGAATTATTTATTTCACATAAATAAAATATTTCCATTAAAATGAACGGGTAAATCTCTAATCAATAGTTTTATTTGATTCTAATGTGTCGTTTCTGTGGGTTCACATGATGAATTCCTCTTATCGATCACGAGACCATGAGAGCCTGAAGAAAACATAAGTTTACTGCTGAAGGATAGCCAAGTACTTTGGATATTTTTTCTCTAGTGAAATTTTTTTCTACTTTTGTAGTCGAACATCGGAGCTTTCATTTGAGCCCCATTTGACCCTAAGTTTACGGACATTTTACAATTATTTTATTATTTAAACTTTAAAGGTCTGAATTTTAATCTCGATATTGAACCGTTAGAAAACATTTTGAAAATCTGAAAACAAATTAGAAAGTTTCGTTTTGGAAGAAGATGGATGAAATAATTTGAAAATTACGAGCATTTTCTATAAATCATTTATAAACAATCAATTTTCCACTATAAAAATCATTTGTTTGGAATCACAACAAATTTATTCATATTCAGAATTTTTCCAGAAATCGATTTCATGTTTAAAAAAAATTAGGTTTCCGCAAGTTTAAACAATTTCAATTATTTATTTATAAACAACGAATGTTTAAAAAAATGAATTCTGTGCAAAATGTAATTTAAATGACACAGAATAGTCATAATTTTTTTTTAAATTTTTCTCACACAATTTTATGAAATACTATGTTCCACGTGAGAATATTTAATGGAGTGGAACACATTTAGAGGGAAATGAAAAACGTGATAGAAAGATATATCATTCACAAAAATTAAATTTTTCTCGTGATCATCAGAAATATCCCTAATAGAATTCAACCTGTTCGCAGGAAAAAATATAATCTATTGTACGACAATCATCTGATCTGAGAGAACTCCATAGGTTTATACCACAGAAAGAATACATTAACGAGGAAATAATATATTTTTTCCAAAAAAATTGTCCCCTCGAAATTATTTATTTTTGCCAAAACACAGTTTTCTGCAAGAAAATGTAGTTTCCTCTTGGAATTATCATTAGTTGCATGGAAAACATAAATGTTTATTGGATAAAGATATCCACTACTCAATAACAGTCACTTGATAAAACTGAAGTCTCATATACTTCTCTGTAGAACGAATGTCTTTACCCGAAAGACATATAAATGTCTCACGAGGATAACTACTACTTCGTAGTCCACAAGTAAATTGATTCAACACGATGAAAGACCTCTTCAGGGGAACATTGAATTTTTCGTCAGAACTAATTTTTTCTCTCAGTGTCTTCTGGAAATGGAATGAAATTTATGGGATTTTCTTTATCTTCATTCGTCTGTTAACTCTCGAAGTGGCTGAATGCCAACATCATTAACCACACACCAAGAAAACCTTCGACAATTCCAAATTTTTACGACCCTACGTCGTGTCCTTGGTTGACACTCTAAAATGCTTGTACCAACAGTCCATTTTCTTTTCGTATTTAGAATAATTTTCCATTAATTTGTTTCTCCACGATTTAAAGATACTCTCGCGGTCACGTAACACCATTCTCTGGGAAGTTTCTTGAGATGATTCAAGTATGTTTACTTGAATTCCAGTTAACGTTGCTAGAGTTGTTGTGTAACTTGAATTACAATTTACAGAGAATTATGTTTAACGACCTTGAAAAATATATCGAAGCCGATGTAAGCATTGAGCGACGGTATAATGCGACTCACGTGATGTGTATCTTGCTTGGCATTACTCTTGATAAAGGGGGGGATAAGTTATCAGGTGGAAGAAAGAAATGAGAATTAATTCACGTTTTTATGGGATTTCAGCTACATCAAGGTGAATCATAAATTTTTCATTCTTTTCATTTAATTTTTTTTAACTAGTTTCCTCAGTTTTTCACCTCGCAGCGTTGAGTGTAAAATTATTTTACATAACTCAGGCTCAAATATAGAAGCAGGATGTAGAGTTAAAAGCAATATTGTTCGGCTGGCGAGTCGATAATCTTTTCTATTTGGCGACTTGCGATGGGAAAAAAAGAAGTTAGTCTCTTTTTACCACCAACTCAGAGACGTTATATTTTGCCACTGGCATGACTCCAATGAAACCAGAGGAAGCTATAAATCCATTTTATCCTCCCCCCTCGGGCCTTTTTTCCTCCTTTTTCCCCCGTTCTACAATTCGCTTTATCCCGGATATTGCCATATTCCATTGACACTTGACGTCGTAAAATGTCAATTGATGTTGAGATATGATAATTCTCCCGTAGAATGGCGCTATCCCAGTTCAGAAAGTTCAGTTTGAGGATTTTTTTTTGTCAATTTATACAAGTCACTGACCCAGTGCATTGACAAGACACACTTGAAATGTTTAGCATGAGATTTTTATTCTTGGTAATTTTCAAGAATAGAGAATTTCGTGCTGAAGATTTGAAGAGAAAAAACAACAGGATTTCAGACAAGTTTGTTTGAACCAAAAAATTACACGTGAAAACGACTAAGATGCAAGTTGTTTCATTTGAGCATGTGAAAGGTGCAAGCATTTAATAATCATTTTGCATTCAATAACAAAATATTTCACTCCAGAGGTGGATCATTCCCACGAATTGATGTATTTCAGCATGAGAATATCTGTTATAACTTGAAGTTAATCAAGAAATAATTGTTTCCTGAGTCGCAGGATTGTTATTGTATCATCATTGTTATTCCAGTTCAGAATTAATTCCTTATCTTTGGGTATTGCACAGTTAAAACGAAAAACTACTTCTCTTGTTTCGCATAAAACTAAACTTTTTCGGGAGTGAAATATGTATAGTAGTTCAGGATATTAAATACATAAAGCTAGGAATGAGATTTCTTGCTTGCGAAGAAATTAGCAATATTTTGGAAGAACTCAGGACACTTTTCAAGCGTTTAGCATGCAATTTTTTATTCTTGGTAACTTCCAATATTAAAGGATCTCGTGTTGAATATTTGAAGTGTTGAAGTGTTCATTGTTGAATACGCCCAGAGGAAAAAACAATGTTTTCAAAGAAGTTTTCTTTGAACAAAAAAAGTACAAGTTAAAATTATCAAGATATAAATTGCTGCATTCAACAACAAATGTTTGACTCAAGAGGTGGATCATTCTCACGGATTGATGCTTTTTCAGGATGAGAATGTCTCTTACAACTTGAAGTTAATCACGAAATAATTGTTTCCTGAGTCGCAGGATTCTTATCATATCATCATTATTATTCAATTTCAAAATTCACATCTTATCTTTGAGTATTGAATAGTCAAAACGAAAAACAACTCTCCCCCGTTACGCATAAAACGAACATTTTTCGGGAGTGGAATATGTGTACAGCATAGGATAATGAATACGCAGTGCTACAAATGAGATATCTTGCTTGCGCAGAAAATCACAATATTTCAGAACTACATTTATTTTCTCGATAAAAAAATTTTCATCTCAGGACTCTCTTCAAATATTTAGCTCGAGATTTTTCACTCTCGGTGATTTTCCAGAATAAAGAATCTCGTGTTGAACATTTGAAGAGTTCATTGTTGAACAAACTGAGAGAAATAACAACATGTTCTCAAACTAGTCTTCTTTTGACAAAAAAAATAGCAAGATATTGTCAAGATAGAAATTGTTGCATTTAACAACAAAATATTTGACTTAAGAGTCATAACATGTCAATTAATACCGAGATACGATGATTTTTGTGCAGAATGATGCTGTCCCAGTTCAGAAATTTCAGTTCGAGGATTTTTTCAATTTCTACAAGTCACTGACCCAGCGCACTGAGGTCGAAAAGATTTTCGATGAAATAACTGGAAATACCAAGCGGCGGCTAATGAATGTCAATCAGCTGGTGGAATTTTTGAATCAATCTCAGAGAGATCCTCGTCTCAATGAGATACTGTATCCTTATGCGAATACAGCCCGAGCAAAGGACATTATAAATCAGTATGAGCCGAATAAGTTCAACGCCAGCAAGGGACATCTCAGCTCCGATGGGTTCCTCAGGTATCTCATGAGCGAGGACAATCCTATCGTTGCTATGTCCAAGTACGATCTGTCGGATGACATGGATCAACCGCTCGCTCATTACTTCATCAATTCTAGTCACAATACTTATCTAACTGGTGAGTGTCGCCTTGGTTTTTTTATTTCCCATTTTATTACGATTTGTTAACTTGTTGTGGCTAATGAGATGCTGGGAAATGAGAAGTGATACTGAGTTATTATCGAATCGCGACTTTTTATTGTTATTCGAGCTTCCTCAGGCTACTGATAATTCTTGGATGGAATCATGCAATTCGAGAAATAAGTGATGGGTTGATGATGGGGAATTTTCAGTTTGAAATCATGCACGCACTAGATTTTGAATTGTAAGGAGTCCGCACAGTCGAAGAAAGTTTCTAGTTTTTGGGCAGAATCTATGAATATAATCTCTGTCATAATGAAATCCAGCGAGCTGAAATGCCTGCAAATAATTGAAATATTTTCCTAAAAATGAGAGAAAATAATTCTCGTTTTTAGAAATTTTGGCTTAAATTACTAGTGTCATTGTGCTTAAAGAGAGACATATTTTCTCTTATTTTGCGCAAATTTGGAGTTTGAGGTTCACAACTTTTGGATGCTCCTATTAAGAACATCCTCGTTCTTGTGACAAACCAGCAGGCAAAAATCATGAATACCCTAGATTTAAAATTATCAGGAGTCTGGGTTTGGGATTCAAACTTTTTAGATGCTCACATTAACCCTAGACTGGTCACCATGCGAGGGAATTACCACAACACGTCGTTTTATTCACCTTGCCATCGACTGGTTGACCGGAAAAATTTGAAAAAAATTGAATTCGTCACTTGAAATATTTGGAAAATTCTAGAATTTTTTTAAAAATATTGTATCCTTAATTCTGGGAGAAAAAAAATTATTTCCAACAGGTGAACAATTTTTTTCCGTGTTAAATGAAATTGCCTGTTGCGCGACGTTGCTGGGAAATCGCTAAACGCGCCCGGGAAGTGTAGAGTGGATTCGGCAACGCTGGAGCCTGAATAACACGGCGGCACTCTCCCGCGAAGGTGACTAAAGTCGCATTTTTCCGTCAGATGACCAGACTAGGGTTAAACACATTCTCGTTCTTCAACTGATGATTTTTTCTGTTCTAACATGAATCTACTCATATTAAAAATTATTGATTATCCGAAGAATATCATTTGATATCTCGACCTAATTCATGATGAATTACGGTTCAATTACCCCTTCCAAATGTTTTTATTCTGACAATGCAAAGATTCTAACATATTACAAAATTCAATCATATTACACATTTATACATAAGCATAAATAAATGGCACATTATAAATACATAGCTCGAACGAGCCGATGACGGATGACAGATAATTTAATAACGTATTTCAATTGCGGTTGGTTCTGAGCGATAGGACCGAAATCATTAGTTATCCAAAGAATCACTTGATACCTCGATCTAATTAATATTGAATTACCGTTCAATTACCCTTTTCAAATGTTTTTAATTTGACAATGTAAAAATTCTTAAATCGAGAACTCAAACGTTTTTGTTTCAAGGAGTTAACAACTTTTCTCACTTTAAATCAGTACATTTTCCGTACAAAATTTTATGAATTTTCTGAAAAACTTCACTTTTGTGTTAGTTTGTTTTATTAAAGGTTTGAAATTCAATCACATAACATACTTATATGTAAACATAAATAAACTGCACATTCAATTGTGGTTGGTTCTGAGCGATAGGACCGAAATCATTTGTTATCCAAAGAATCACCTGATACCTCGATCTAATTAATGTTGAATTACCGTTCAATTACCCTTTTCAAATGTTTTTAGTTTGACAATGTAAAAATTCTTAAATTGAGAACTCAAATGTTTTTGATTCAAGGAATTAACAACTTTTCTCACTTTAAATCAGTAGATTTTCCGTTCAAAATTTTATGAAATTTCTGAGAAACTTTACTTTCATGTTACATTGTTTCATTAAAAGCTAAACAATCAATGACATTACATATTTACACATAAACATAAATAAACGGCACATCATAAATATATAACTCGGAAGTGCCAATGACGGATGACAGATAATTCAATAACGCATTTTAATTGCGGTTGGGTCTGGGCGATAAAAGACCACATCCAAGTCTTGGAGATTCTACAAAATTCCGTGAAATCTCTATGAATTTCATATCCTCTTAAACTTACCAAACAATCAATCAATCAATGTTTAAAATTTTCTAATCTTCAAATCCGCTGCACAACCTTTTTTGGAAGTGATTTACCCCCTCTTACTTGGATTGATCCTTGCCTGGATTTCACGTCATTTTGTTTTCACCACACAACAGGCCATCAATTAACTGGCAAAAGTTCAGTGGAAATCTACCGCCAATGTCTCCTGGCCGGTTGTCGATGTGTCGAGCTCGACTTTTGGAATGGAAAATTCGACGAGCCTGTAATTGTTCACGGGTAAGTACTCCTCCCTTAACTGAAGAATACATACCTAAATACCTAAAAAGCTTGAGTAGCTGTTGTCAATTGACACTAGCATTATCGAATTACCATAGTATAAAGTAGTCCTAAACGCATTGTACAAGAGAAATGAAAAAATATCCATGCATAATATTGAAAAAACAGATACACATTTGTGCCTGAAATATGCGCTCGGGATGTAATCGAGGCGATAGCAGAGAGTGCCTTCAAAACCTCGGAATTCCCAGTCGTGCTCAGTTTCGAGAATCACTGCAATCCCAGACAACAGGCTAAGATCGCTCAGTATTGTAGGGAGTACTTTGGTGATATGTTGCTTGCTGCCCCACTCGAGTCACACAAGGTATTGCAATAGTGCTATTTAGTTTATGCAGGCGAGTGATTTATATTTTGTACACTGAGATGAAAAAAACGACCTAGTAGACTATTCGTATTTGTTGTTTATTCAGTCAAGTCCCAACAACCGAGGCCAATTATAGGGTCAAATCGTATTATAGAATACTTATATAGAACAAATCAGTAGCGAAGTGGTAAAACGGTCTAAGTCGACTTATCTCCCAGTTGAGTTTTTGAGGAATATTTCGGACTCTAAGGGAGATGGTGAAATTTTCGTTATTACATTTGTTGTAGCTCTCAATCGGCTGTACAAAAACGGTTATAACAAAAATTTTGCAATCTCTCTTAGATTGTGAGATATTTATTGAAAACCGATCAATAGTCAAAATTGACTTGTACCGTTTTACCACTTCGCTACTGGAATATACACATATTTAAAAAATAAATTCTAGAATAAGGAGATGGAGCATCATAGCATTACATTGAAACGTGGCTTACATATTCAGCAGGCATTCAACAAAATCGTACGCCTTGTTAACAATTGTAGACATCGTAATTTTTGAATGTTTTTTATTTGTCTGAAATTTCTGGTACACCTTTTGGAAATTATTATGTAGTAATTCTGTTGAAATTTTAAGGAATTTTGTCATTGAAAATTCAGAGTTCGGTGAACAATTATGGAAATTGCAAATTACGTTTCAATTATTTCATAAGAATAGTAATTAATAGTAATCAATCAACAAAAATTGCACAAATTTATTTTGCAAAATTTTTATCAAATAATAGTTCTACTAGAATGACTGAGATAAAAAAACCTGATCCACTGTTGAATATTTTTGGCTGAAATGTCCTGTATACCTTTTGGAAATTTCTTTTCAGTGATGGTTTTACTGAAATTCCAAGGGAAATCCCTTTGTCGCTTGAATTTCCGTTCAATTATTCTTTGAAAATTCTTAGAAATCAGGAAATTCAATCGGTCAACACTTGAAAATTTTTTTGTAAAATTTTCATCAAATAAAAGTTTACTAAAATTTCAAGGAATTGCGTAATTGAAAACTCTCAATTTGATGAAACAATAAATGAAAACTATAAATTCCAGTTCAATTATCCCATGAAAAGTGATAGAAATAAAAAAAATGCAGGTAAATATCAGAAAATTAATAGGGAGTGGATTTTATTTTAAAGACAAATGTTCCATTTTACTACATCAAGCATTCATTCTGCAATAAACATGTAAATAACTTCGATCGCTGGACGGTTTCAAACACTATTCGGTTAATTTCAAGTCGTTTTTTCCCTCAGTGTACACTATAGTCCATTCAGATAATTACTACATGCTCCTAGATATTGAATTCACGTGCTCGTTCCTCAAGGTACAAAGAGATATATTGCCCAAAATAGTAGAAATTGTGTTGAAAACATACGATTTCGATAAATTCTTGTTAAATCCTTTTAGAGCAGTGACTCACTCGCCTACATCCATTTATCTCAATCCAAATCCTCACAATCGTAGACTATTAATCCTTAAAGTTGTATGGTTATTCTGCCAGTCTAGACATTGAGTATACGAAAAAAAAATCGATATTGAGTACTTGAGTATTTTCTCATCAAATATTTGGGAATCGTGTGGGCTAAAATTGTTGGAGACTCCACCTCTACCTACTGTGGTACAATCGATAATTCCAATTAATTACTGAACAACTCATCACAAATAATTTCAACATAGAAACTGAGTTTTAACTGTAGTACTAAACACTTCATCATAGTTGCAATTAATTACTTTTACATCATCGCTTATTAGTGTACAAGTTTCACGATCAGATTGATGACACGTCGAAATATGAACATCTTACAATCAATAGTAATCATTGCAAGAGTAAAATGGAAACAACGCGAAAAAAACAGATTCATCCAAATTTTCCATCGGTAAACACATGAATTTTCTGAAAATATTGATATAGACTGACGACTGAATCACGCAAAAATCGATGTATTGATCATGCACAATCAAAATTTTTAATAGAATAAAAAATATGAACTGAAATTAGATGAAAACAAATACGACATAGAATTTAGAATAAGTAGAGGAGAGTCGGGCCAAATGGGACGTTTCGTGATCTTCTCTAATTGTCAATATGTTCACTTATAAATGAAGATATTGACAATTGGAAAAGATCTCAATACGCCCCATTTTGCCGGACCCTCCCCTAATAAGTAATGTTGTAGCGCATTGTTCAGGTGATGATTAATATTGTCATGAATTGTTCATGTAATAATTTTTTGTGATGCAATGATCAGTAACATCACAAACCTGCAATAAGTAGAGGTGATACGATTGATTCCACCTCTACTTATTACTTCAATTCATAAATCCAATTAATTACTGGATAACTCTTCACGAATAACTTTATCATAGTTTCAGCTCATTACACGGAACATTTCATCCTAGTTATAATTGATTACTTTTATATCATTCTTGAATAACACAGAAATTTAATGACCAGGTCCATAGCAAGCCCATCTTGTAAACATTCTACAATCAATAATAATCAATGCAAACATAAAAAAACAAGATAACACTGCAAAAAAACACGCAAAATTGGCTTCCACAAATACATGAATATGCCAAAAGTATTGATAAAAATCCCGACCACTGAATCACGCAAAGATCACGCATAATCAGAAATTAAAAAAAAATAAAATAAAGTGATGAAAAATGATGATGATGATGATGATGATGATGTTAAAGTAATAAATTGATCACACACAATCAGAAAATAATATAATGGCTGGCTGAATAAAAATAGGATGAAAACAAATACGTCCTACAATTTCGAACATGAAACAGTAATAAGTAATGTTGTGACGAATTGTTCATGCGATGATTAATATTGTGATGAGTTTTTCTGATTAAATAACTATGCCATCACAAACCCGTAACAAATAACCATTGTTAAATTTCTTTCTTTCGTTCATAGTCTCTTGTGGTAAACTTTTCTCTTATTTTCATTACTAAAAAAACCCTGAACTATCGCCAATTTCGAAATTCTTCCATAACAATGAAATTATTTTTTGCATATCTTCAAGTAATTCCTCCAATTTTTCGCACCTAAAACTTTTTCTTGTGTATAAAATTGCATTAAAATGTTGATGTTGTTGTAATGCCATATGAAACCAAATTTCCCACTCAATCTTCAGGCTGGCATGATGATCACTGCCTAAGACTCCCCGAAAACCTATAAATCATCACTTCTAAAATTTCTCTAGCTCGAGCCAGGCCAGGAGCTTCCACCCCCCTCTCTCCTCAAACGAAAAATCATAATAAAAAACAAGAAGAAGCACAGAAATCACAAGAAAGACCACAAGAAGCACCACGCAGTGCCACTGGACGGTGTAGCCCCCCAAGAGTCGGAGGAGGCAGCTAACGCCGAAGGCGAGAACGGTCCTCCCCCAGACATAATTCCCCAGAACGAGGTTGATGGTGTTCTGGTGACCACCGATCAGGCCCAATCAGTGGGTAATGGAGAAGTTAACCACCCCCCTAGCATGGTCCTGCAGCAACGTCAGTCCTCAAAAGACAGCAATCAAGACGACGACGACGAGGAAGACGAATCGAGCACCGAAGAGGACGAGTCAAACGTCGAGGACATCAAGCTCAGGATGGGGGACAAGGTCCCTGCGTCAGACAAAGTTGCCTCGACAGCCAAGGAGACTGAAGCTGGTGAGGAGATCTCAGCCCTAGTCAATTACGTCCAACCAGTCCATTTTAACAGCTTCGAGAGCGCTGAGAAGAAGAACCGAAACTACGAGATGTCGTCGTTCGACGAGAAACAGGCGACGACATTGTTGAAAGAAAGACCTTTGGAGTTCGTTAACTACAACAAGCATCAGCTGTCGAGGGTGTACCCAGCAGGCACCAGGTTTGACTCGAGCAACTTCATGCCTCAGGTCTTCTGGAATGCTGGGTGTCAACTTGTAGCTCTCAATTACCAGACACTGGATCTTGCCATGCAGTTGAACATCGGGATATTTGAGTACAATCAGAGATCTGGGTATCTGCTCAAGCCTGAGTTCATGAGGAGGAAGGACAGGAGGCTCGATCCATTCGCTGAGTCCACGGTTGATGGCATCATTGCTGGGACTGTTGTCATTCATGTGCTCTCAGCGCAGTTCCTCACTGATAAGAGAGTGGGGACTTATGTCGAAGTTGATATGTATGGGTTGCCAGCTGATACTGTCAGGAAGAAGTTCAAGACGAAAATTGTTCCTAATAATGGGATTAATCCGGTCTATGATGAGGAGCCTTTTGTTTTTAAGAAGGTTGTCTTGCCCGAATTGGCTTCTCTCAGGATAGCTGCTTATGAGGACAGCGGGAGGCTTATTGGACACAGGGTCTTGCCTGTTGTGGGACTGTGTCCTGGGTACAGGCATGTCACTCTGAGGAACGAGTGTGGACAGCCCAGACCTCTTGCCAGCCTGTTTCTGCATGTTATTGTAAAGGATTACGTGCCAGATGGGTTCAGCGATTTTGCTGAGGCTCTTGCCAATCCTATCAAGTATCAGAGCGAACAGGAAAAGAGGGAGAAACAACTGGAGAGACTTACTGATGCTAATGATGGGCTTGATGAGGATGAGGTGAGAATCTTTCATTTTGGCTGTTTGGGTTTGGTTGGGGTCGTGAATTATCTTGTGTTTAATATTTGGCAAGTCTGATACTTGGGGCGTCTAAGGGCCGTCTACTGTTCAGTGCTTGCACTGATTCTTTCATGGATTTTGAGATTTTATACATTTTTTTTAGCTTCATTGCTTCATTTCGTCTTGCGATGTATCAGTTTTTCGCTCAAATATTGGGTTTTTCGAAGCGGAAAAAATAGAAATCATTTGAACTTCTGCAAACTCCATTCAGAATATGAATAAATTCTTTATGAATTTGGAAACGTGATTTCTGAAATAGAACATTTACTTTTTAGGAATTATTTCATAGAATACTTTTTATGAAATAATTGATAAACAGTAAATTTTGGTGCTGAACTGTCTTATGTTTAATATTTGTAGCTATATTTGATGAATCCAAGTGGCATCGCCAGTTTTGTACAGATTTTCTTATGGATTTCAAGATTTTATCACAAAATTTTCAATTTAGTTGCTTAATTACGTTTTTACTAAATAAGAAAATGGAAATCATTTAACCTTCGGGAAACTCCATTTAGAAGGTGAATAAATTTCTTTATGAATTTGGAAAAATGATTTCTGAAACAGAACATTTACTGTTTATCAATTATTTCATAAAAAAAGTATTCTATGAAATAATTGATAAACAGTAAATTTGGGTGCTGAACTGTCTTATGTTCAATATTTGTCAAGTAGCTAATATTCGAGGAATCCAAGTGCCATCGCCAGTTTTGTACAGATTTTCTTATGGATTTCAAGACGTTATCATCAAATTTTCAATTTAATTGCTTAATTACATCTTCTTACATATGAATTTTTCTTTCAAACATTTTTTTTAACTAAATAAGAAAATGGAAATCATTTACACTTCTAGAAATTTCATTTTGAATATGAATAGATTCTTCCACGAGTTTGGAAAAATGATTTCTGAGATAAAAAATTTACTGTTGATTTCATAAAGTCTAAACTTCCTTTACTTTCCAAAGTCAATTTAAGACTTCAAGAAGTTCAAATAAACAAAACACATTGTCGAAGTATTTGGATATCCTCAGTGTATGTTTTTCTATTGCTTGTGGTTGACTAACATTTGTTGTTTGTGCCTGCTAACATCATAGGATAATGAGAAAGATAATGTTAAAGAGAAAGAGAAAGAGAGGGAAAAAGATAAAGATAAGGATAAGGATAAAGATAAAATTGGTGGTGGAACGAGTGCATCCAAATCAGTTGTGAGTTTTCAGCTTTTGTCTGTCACAAGTCAACCCCTTTCCCCGAGAGCAGATGAGTAAATATTGTTCTTTTACTTAGGACGAATCGACGAAGATGAAGAGACTGCAGTCGCAGGGCGAATTGCCAACTCCAACTCTGCCATCAGGTAGTCCCCATGGGCGACCACCAACAGCTGGAGCCAGTGTACCTGAGACACCTGATCAGGAGGATGGACCAGCGAGTACAACAGCTTCGACTGTCGATGGATCTGCCAACAAAACTCCACTCACTGTTGTTACGATTGGCGAGGGAATTGTTGCCGAGAGTCTCGAGAAACTCATGAATAATAAATTAGTCAGGGAGAAGAAGACGGAGTTGGATAAAAAATTGGAGGCACTCAGGAGGAAGCAGGAGAAAGAGAAACTGCGATTGCAGTCGCAAAAGGGTTCCCTCGATGGAGAGAAGCATAAATCAAAGTTCTATAGCACAAAATTAGTGAAGCGTCTCTCCACTAAGAATATGTGAGTATTTTTATCCTTAAAAATTCAACCGATGTTATAAGGCTTGTTCTTGCAGTTTTTCGAGCGATACGAGCATCACTCCCTTGCCAGAAACATCTGAAAATCCTGAAGTGGGTAAAGATGGGGTGGAGGTGAGGGGATTGCCAAGGAGCCAGAGTGAACGGTTATTGACAGTTTGCAAGGAACACGTCAACCAGGAGCGTGAGTTGCAGGAGAAGTATCACGAGAGTGTGTTCAGTCTTGTTGAGAAAGTGATGAAAGCATCGCAAATGAACCAACTGAAGACCCTTCGAGTGTTGCTTGAACGAGAGACCAATAATGCTATGAGGAAACTACAGGACATTCGACACGGAGAGGTGAGAGATTGTTTATTTACGTGGCTTTTCCCTTGTGGAATTCTGTTTAATTAAGGTAATAAGTGGCATTTTTATTTTTACACTTACCACACAATAGATTTAAAGATTTTTGAAGATGAAATTGTTTAAGAAAATAAATGTGAGAGATTGGAACAAAATTCGGGTGATTCAAATTAGTTTTCTCATTTTCTTTTCGTGGGTGAATAATGGGAATTGTTCAGAGTTCCTCGTGGAAAGCGGCCTTTATTCTCAATGATAACAATTTTTAAATAATTGACTTTTCGAATATTTTCTAAGAATTAAAAATTGTAAATCAAATTGATACGTTTAAAAACAGTAATCTATCAGTCCAGCTACAAGTGTTGAAAGGAATTTTAATAAAACAAATTGTTAAAGTGTCGAATTATAACTGGATTACTTCATAAATAATTTTTGTAATCTGTTTGATGTTTCTTCAACTAATTCTAGATGCAAATACTCCACCTCTGTATTTTCTCCACACTTTTCACATGATATTGCTCATAAATCCTCAATTTTCCTCTACCCAGGTAATTAAATACTTAAAAATGCAACTATGAATGTTTTGATGCACAGGTGAAGCAGCTGGCAAAAGTGCACAAAGACAAAGCCGAGTTGGACCGTATGAAACGTGAAGTGGCGAAGACGACTGTTGAGAAAGGGGTCAATGAGTGTACCAGATTAACAGAGATTTACGAGAAGAGAAGATGTGAGTTGGAGAGGCAGCACGAGGAGGTTCGACAGAGGCTCGACGAGGAGAGGAATAAGGTACGTTTAGTGAACAATTTTAACGTCACGATAAGGGGCAAAATGGATACTCTGCGCTGTTTCAAGTATAAACAAGTGAATAAGTTATTGGGATTGTTGCAGAATTTTCTCTTTCACGAGAGGAACATTGTTCCTCTTTTGAATTCAATTTGTGAATTCATTTCCGAATTATTGGTGTTCATTTCAAAGTCAAAAGTTATCATTTTTCCCTGTCCTTCTCACTCAGTAATGCAGAAGTATGACGATAGAAACATCAATTGAAATTGAACTAATTTGATTATTTTCACGGAATAATTTAACTGAAAAATCAAGTATTTTATTGATTGTCAGATCATTTGAACCGAAAATTAATGGAATATTTGATTTTTCAATGTCAGCATTTTCTGAAATTTCTGTGGAAATTAAACACGATAAAAATTTGCAGGATTTGGCACGGATAATTCAGACGAAAATTTTTAACAGTGCACAAATTACAATCAGTTATCCACAGCTCCCCTAATTCTATCTCTTCTGTTAAAGGTAAGACAACAACTCTGTGCTGATTACACTAGTCGTTACAAGAAGTACGAGAGTGGTGAGCTTCCAGTATCGCCATCAGGGGGTACAAGCATCCCCGAGGCTCTGAGTAGTACAACGTACTGAATCAACTGTTGAGAAAGAAAAACCCAAAGAGATGAGAGGAAAGAACTCGTCACGATGGACATTAGAGGCTGTCAGAAATGGGTCTCGTTTTTTTTCGCCTGGTCTTCCGTCTGCACAGGATGGATAATCCAGGGAGGAAGAGATAGAGAGAGAGAGGGGGGGGGGGGGAATTATTTTTTGGGNGGCACGGATAATTCAGACGAAAATTTTTAACAGTGCACAAATTACAATCAGTTATCCACAGCTCCCCTAATTCTATCTCTTCTGTTAAAGGTAAGACAACAACTCTGTGCTGATTACACTAGTCGTTACAAGAAGTACGAGAGTGGTGAGCTTCCAGTATCGCCATCAGGGGGTACAAGCATCCCCGAGGCTCTGAGTAGTACAACGTACTGAATCAACTGTTGAGAAAGAAAAACCCAAAGAGATGAGAGGAAAGAACTCGTCACGATGGACATTAGAGGCTGTCAGAAATGGGTCTCGTTTTTTTTCGCCTGGTCTTCCGTCTGCACAGGATGGATAATCCAGGGAGGAAGAGATAGAGAGAGAGAGGGGGGGGGGAGTATTTATTCTTTGGGAGTGAGTGAGATGCTTCTCCCAGGGCTAACATCTGATTCTGGAGATTCAAGTGTGCCATGTGCTCCTGAAGAGCCCGACCCGTGGAATTTGTTCCAATCTCTTCTGGAAAGTTATCCAAGTACACAGCATTAATTGAATGCATTTCATGATATTTCAAGTCGTCCAAGATAATTCTCCCCAGTAATTTTATCGTCTCTGATTGCCATCCTAAAAGTTAACGAAGAAAAATATTTTCTTTTAGTGAGGCATTTTCGGTTTATTTTCTTACAGTATTATGTATTTGAAGAATGCTGAATTCACATGAATTCATTCATAAAAACTTGAGAAGTGGAGATTATGTATTCATGTCATGGGGATACACAAATTTTTGAGATAACGTGAGATCTACGAATGGAAGGTATATTGATTCTAAATAAGTGTAAACTGTTTTTTCAAAAGAACAAAACGTAATGACAAAATAACTGAGAAAAAAACTATAAACGATTGCGCTTCACCTTGTTGTTATATACATAAGACGTTATTTATTCGAGGAATTATGATACGAATGGATTAATAATAATTCTAATCGCGTCCTGAATTTGAATATTCAATTTTTTTTCTGGGAATCGTGGAATTTTCTTCTGTGATTGAGGAGGGACGAATGTTGAAGGAATACTGGGGGGGTTTATTATTCGATATATGCTTATCTCCTCAAATAATTCAATCACAGATTGTTGAATAAAATAACAAGGGTATAATTAACTTAAAACTGAGTATCGTGGTTCGATGGTAACTGAAAGTTTTCAGAATTTTATTTTTCAACATTGATGAGAATAAAGTAAATTCGTGGATAACTTGGGATAATGAGGGGGATTCTGCGAATCTCTTACTATTTATTTATTTATTTTGTCTCGATTATTACGGAGGTACGTGTTTCTAGGAGTAATGAATATAATGATTAAACTGATATAAAAAATTTACGACAGCTCTGAAGGAAGACAATCAAAAAATCAATGAAATTAATGAAAATGTTACACTCTGTAAGGCATTATAGTGGTTACAATTCCCCTTGTTGTTTCTAATCGTAATTAATTATGACGAAAATTGAATTCATACACATAACGGAATCCTCATTAATCGTAATATTGAATAGGGTATTAATATCAGGTAATATCGTATGATCGCGTTGTTTGATTTCACTCTTTTATTTATTGCGGGAAACGATTTTTCAGGAATAATGTTTGCGTTTAGAACTACTTGAGCGATAATTCCGTCGAAGAAAATCGGAAAATAAGGGGATGATAAGGTGAATAACGTGACTCAAAAAAACAAACTTTGTTTCAAGATTTCAAAGGTCTTGAGGTAGGATTTTTTGAAAAAATTGAATGATGTTTTTTTGACAAAATCATTGATGATTTGAAAGTCTCAATTTGAGAGTCTTATGTTTCTGTTCATAATGTAAGCTTAGTTCAAATCAAAATAAGTTGTCATTTCTTCATCTTATGTTCATTTGAAATTGATTCGTCTGCACTCTACCTAAATCTAATTTTATATCACTCGATTGGAAATTGTTACGAAACTGTTCATGACATTTCAATTTTTTCTAACAGTTTGAGAATTAAAATAAAACTCATGTTGTGTCTGGAAAGTCTTAAGTTGACTTCTAAAACTCTGAATTTGAGATTATCTTCTGATATGGGGATTATTGTCTTGTTTTAAGATTTCAAAGGTCTTAAAATAAGATTTTTTAAGTTAATAAAAAACAAAAATTTAATTGAAGATTTGAAAGTTTCAACTCGAGAATTTATATTCATGTTCATAATACTTCATCACTCGGTTGGAAATTATTGCGAAACTGTTCATGAAATTTTAACTTCTTCTAACAGTTTGAGAATTGAAATAAAACTTATGTGGAGTTTGAAAAGTCTTAAATTGAGTTCTACAATTCTCAATTTCAGGTTTTCAACGGTCTCAGTGTGGGATCATTAGTCTAAAAATACAGCTCAATTCTATTGGGTAATCTTCTGATGTGGGAATTATTGCCTTGTTTTAAGATTTCAAAGGTCTTAGAATAAGATTGTTCAAAAAATATGGATGAAGTTTTTAAAAAACTTAATTGAAGACTTGAAAGTTTCAACTCAAGTTTCAAGTCTTATATTTATGTTCGTAATATAAGTATAATTCAAATTAAAATAAGTTGTCAATTTTTCACGTTATGTCCACTTGAAATGGATTAATTCACTTCCATCCTACCTAAACCTTGAAATTTTATGAGTTTTTCCTTCCTAAATCTGTTTATAAAATTTCCACTTATTCTAACAGTATGAGAATTAAAAGAAAACACATGTTGTGTTTGGAAAGTCTCATGTTCAGTTCCAAAAGTCTCAATTTCAGGCTTTCAAAACTCTGAATTTGAAATCATTAGTCTCAAAATAAAGCTTGATTTTTTGAGTGATCTACTTATATGGCGATTATCATCGGGAAGTTCAGAAGGCAGATAACTTTCATTAATTTCGAACGGGACGCGTTTGTGATATTAAAGGATCTCAAAGCAATCGTAGGATCGCGAAATATAAGAGTCTAACGGGTGAAAAGGGGGGAGGGATGGTAAAAAAATCATAGAAACATTTTAAATTATACAATCGTATGAAAGTCGACTGATATACTTGATAAATTAATCATTAATCCATAAAGGGGTACGAGTAAATCGACAAGAATACTGAAGAATCACTTTGGATAAACTTATTTATTTAAAACACCATAAAAAATTCTCCGATTCACGGGATATCTCATTCATGTTGATTGTGATGATAATTATTTGAGGGAATTTTGAGAAAACTGTCGACTTCGAACCGATCCCCTTGAGTCCATCAGTCCGTTATTACTTAAGATTGCATTTTGTAGACTAGGATACATTGTAAAAAAATTGTAATTAAGAGAAGAAGCGCAGGTGAAATTTATCAGTGTACTCTTTATCTGGAAGAAGTTGGGAAAAACTGTCTCAATGAAACTATCATTTTTTTAATCAGTCAAGAATTGTAACAAAAAATTCACGTTGAATTTCGAAAATTGATTTTAAGAATTAAGTGTAAGGGGAGATCTAGCGAATTTTGATGTTCAACGAGATTGACATTGTCATATCTATGAGAGAACGTATCTCGTCGATAACCAATAGACGTTTGAAATTGAAGTCTGCAACCCATGAAAATTGATCAATGATAATTTAATGATCAAGTGAAAACTAAAGTCTCAAAATAATTTCCGTTGCAATTTGATGCTGAAGAAAGATGAATTTGTAGTCTCCATTTGCCATAATAGGTTCCATATGAATATATTTATACAGTAAAACTAGATAATGGAAACAATAGAGATTATTATATTCGCGTTGAAGAAGAAAATTATTATGTGTTGTTGCTGTTGATGTTGTTTGATGATAAATGTAGCTAAAGTCGAAGTAGATAGATACAAATATTTGGTAACTGTAATTGATAATGTGGATAGTGGCATAGTTGAATTTTTAGAAATGCTATTTTGTGCTGGGGTGTCAATTTGCGAGAGAATAGAATCTGCTTCCAGAACCCAATTATCGATATAACTGAGTGATAATTAGTGATTGTTTTTTGTGTGTACATCAAGATACTGAGGAGACAAGAGTGTTTGTAATGAGATAATTCTCAGTCATCGATCTCTTCAGTGTCCCAAGAAAAAATACGACAAAGTAATGGAACTTTCATTCAACTTGACACCATTGGTCTTCCCATTTGATAAAAAAATCGCAAAAATCTTCCTTTATGAATTATCTAATATTTTGTGCTCTTCCAAGCCGGAGACAGCAGAGAATTTATTAATCTTTATATGCATTTTGATTGAAAAAAAAGCCTCGGCTTATCTCCACACATGAACTCCAACTGTAGTCATCTGCCTTGACGTCTGAAATGTTCATTTATCCAGGCACTAGCTCGAACTGTGAAGCTACAGGTAGATGGCTCAATTAAACTCAATGAAGAATATATAAAAAAACTATTTTACGGTGCCACGATGATGTATCAATCGATCAATGGTACAGTGTATGTTATAAGTGTAAGTGTAGTTGAAACGGCCTACAGACTAATCGTAGCTATTACTTTATGAAAAGAAAAATGTGAATCTCAGGATTCTTCACTGAAAACAACAAGAATCTCTTCCATCTTGAACAGACACTAAACACATTTGGGAATAATAGAAGAAAAAAAACTTTTACAACGACCTTCTGTACCTGATCGATGCCAATTTGAATCTCAAGTCGTGTAGAAAGTTTTTGAAAGAGAGGACAAAAGAGAATACCAAAGTATCAACGAGGATTGAAACATGAAAGAAAATATGGTGTGGAGAAATATTATTTAGGTCTCGACTATGCGCCAAGGCTGTTCGGTCAGGCATTCTTTTTTCGTTCCAGAGTCACTTTGATACTGTTTTAAAAAAATCGAGGAACCTTTTTATGCTATAAAAATGCCGTTGCTATTAGCAGAGTATCTACTTTGAGGGAAGATGCCCTTCAAGACTCTATGATAGTATCGAAGCTACGAAGTCTCTTTATAATATATAAAAAGGAAATGACGAGAGGTGGAAAAATATAAGTACTCAAGTGCGGTAACATTGAGCGATGAGCATCGGACGAGAACTCTGTATTTATCAGACTTTAAGGTGATACGAGGGTCTTCGTTATAAAATGGAAGTCTTTAACGTCGATGTTGCATTCATAAACGAGTTCAGACTGCGAGCTCATTAGTGGGAGATGCGTTTGATGCATATGTTTTGTATGCAATGGGTTTTTAATGAAGTGTTTCAGTTTTATGAAGAACACGGAGTATTTGCTGCATTATTGAATGTCTTGGCTGAATGGAACGGGTTTCATTCACTGTTAAAAAATAATGAAATTTCATAAAGGAAAGGGGTTGAAGATTTCACGGAATGTTTTCTATTAATTTTCGTGGGATAATTAAACTGAAATTCACAGTTTCCATTGATTTTTTTCATGAAATTTTGAATTATGAAATTTCTTGAAATTTCAATGGCATTATAATTTGACAGGAATTTCCAAAAAGTGTAGCGGAAATTTCAGCCAAATGTTTTAACAGGAGAAAAAGGTCTTTCCACTCACCGAGAATTCCGTTTCGTTCTGTTCTGCCATTTTTAAGTGTTGATTAATTATTATTACCCTGTTATCAACGTTCTCAGAACTCATTGTTACTGTACCATTGTACAATTAATTTATTTATGAATATGAAGACAATTCCGTTGATATATTAAAATGGTTGTAACTGTCGTTAGAAAATGTGTGTGTGATATGTAGATTTACGAGGGAGTATCCATTGTTCTCTGGAATTCTCTGGTAATTTTTAGATTGTAATTAGGATGAAAATTGTGTAAGATACTTCAGGTCGGCCGTTGTACCATCAATGGCTTCTGTTCTTCTTTTTGTTGACTTCCACCTTGTTTTATTTTGTTTTTTCCTGATTGGGTGACAATGTCGTTAGACAATAATAATTTTTTGTTGTGTTATTACTGGATTATTTGTTTTTTTTTCTTCAACCTGTTTCCTTTCTTATTTCGCGGATGTGGGAGGGATTCTGGTGAATTGTTTAGGATTTTTGGCGTCGTTTTTTTGGGTTTTCATGTGCTAGTCGATGTTGTTAATTCGCTACGCTTTAATTGTTACAATATTGCCGACAATAAATTGTAGAACGCGCTTTTCACACGGAGAAAAATCTTCAGGCATAATTATACGTGACGGAAGGTAAATTTACGTGATACTATATAAAAACGTGAACGAAATAATTTCATAGAAAAATCTAGCAAATTCGTTGGAAATTTATTAATTTTTTATTGGTTTTTGGCAGATTCTATTAAAAAATCCCACAGTATATCTGCGCTTTGTTTTATAGAAATGTTCAATAAGTAATATTTTATAAACTATTTTTTTTGTTGTTTTTTGGGAAAAGGGGAAAAAATATTGTGAAATAACTTGGAAAATTGATGTCGAGGAATTCTTATAGGAAATGTCTCAATAGCAAACGTTGTGTAGAAAGATGACATTTTACTTATCTTTTCTGTAAAACAGTTTTTATTTGCCATTTCTTTATTGAGAAAACCGGCAGTAAAGCGGCGAAATTCTTCAATAGATGTTCAATAAAATAAAATAAAATAGAAGTTCAATAAAAGCCCAATAAAATTTTCTATCGAAGTCGCCAGGTTTTTTAATGGAATTTTTTCTTGCGTGAATTCGCACGAATAATAGTAATTTCTTCGACGTATTATTTACGCTTCACTATTACGTGTCACCGCATACTTTTTATGCGGCACTTTTTCTAAAAATTTTTTCTCCGTGCAATAAATAGCTCATGTGCGCATCTATGGAAATTGAATGTCGGTGAGGAGATGAAAATTTCAAAAGCAAAAACATGAATTTCTCACGAGTTATCCACTAGCATTATATGTATACATGAATATACACTTATATATTTTATGATGAAAGTACATAATCGTTAACTGGTAAAACCGCATTTACTATTGTAAAAATTACTCGTAACTCCTCTGATTAAGCGATACTTTATTCGTTGGATTAAAAATTACACCGGTTTTATTTTGTCGAAAAAAAAATTGAATTTGTGTGGTGATTCGGAAAAATTCACTCGTCGAAATTGTAGAGGCCATTCTGTCATTGATTTAGGAGGAAATTATACGCCAAACAAATGGACGAAATTTTTTTGAGATAATAGTGAGAGACAAGGTGGTAGAAATCATCCGATAATTTTCCTCTGACTCACTTGTGCCTTGCCCTCGAACATCCCCACCCCCCTCCAAATTTTTCTGTACACGAGAGAAAAAAAAATTCTCCCAATCCCCTTCTCGATGCGTTTTTCGAGTTATATGAAATTATAAAATTAATATCAATAATGTGACAAATTTCTTCGATGTTCGATGTTCGCTTCTATCGAGATAAGTGACTATATTTGAATAAAATTATGATTATATCGTAAGAGGTGGATTTAAATCGTAATGGTTATTCATAAGCGGATAAATCCACGATGTATCATAACTGAAATTGCACTCGCAAAAGTATCGATAAGACATTCGATATTAACAATAAAATAGTATGAGTTAAATGGATTTTCATGTTGTTGAGGAGCCCCTGGGGAATATAGAGGAAAGGTACCAGTTACAGTAATCGATAAATAATTTTCATTTTTGGCTCAAAGTCCAGAGTTTATCTGTAATTCTGTATTCCATTCCCCACGTAGTCGTTTCATGTTCAGATGTGAGAAAAACATTTTCCATTTAGGCGAGTTTTTGATTTTTTTACGTTGATTATCCGTTCAAAACTTCTTCAAAATGAGTTATGGATTTTAGGGAATCGGGGAGAATTAGATAAATCCAATCAGTGTTTAGGTAGATCGATAAAAACCACTATTGTAGTACCGACTGTTTTTTCTAGTGAATTAGAATAGTGAAATTGTTACCTGCAGTATGAAATGAAAAAGCTACCGTTGTAAGACAATTACGTATATCACTATTACGATGATCTGTGGATAATAACGAAATATATAAATGGCTATACCGTACTGTAAAATCAAAGTCATTTAGCGTAAAGTAATAAAGTCACCGTTAATAAGATTCTGATCCAAAGAGAAAAATATTGTTTTATTGCTCAACTCTTCAGCGGAGCTCAGTTCCTCCATTTTTCCCTATTTTCATTAATAGACGTACTCCTTGACCTCCGATCTTCCCTTCATACATCTTGCATGTTATAATTTAAAAACTCATGATATGTCAGAAAAAAGGTATCGATCAATGACAAAAATTAATAAACAATCGTCTCAGCAATAATCACCTTCAGACGGAATAATTTATCACCGATAAAAAATATTCCTAGAAGATCATTATGTATTTAAATTAAATCATGACGTATGAATTCGTAAACTATATCGATCAATTTCCTACTTTCTCGAATAGCGCCATTACCACTCTGTACGTGTCTACAATTTTTCCATCCTTCATTCTATTTTTTGCAAACTGCTCGGTTATTTGTTTCGTGTAAATTTCCCTGACGCCATTTGGCATTCGATCGACGAAGGGATCCATCACCATTAGGGTGTCTGAAACAAAACGATTTTTCTTCTTACTAGGCTTGCATTCCAAGAACTGTGTACAATCGTTAATTTTTCTAATTTCATTCTCAAGATATTTTTAATACCTTTGGTTAAGAGATATAGACCGTTGAAGTCTGTCTGTTTTACGCCACAGTCTTTATTAAGGAGAGACGACTATGAGTTCTAAAAGTCGCGTGCTATTGGAATGAGATTTCTCATACATTGAAGATCGATCATATTATGTCTAAAAATGAATAATTAGTGCAAAAATATAATTGTTTATTGTTCCTTTACCCCGCAAACGCATAAAATGGTAAAAATAGCCCAGGCTCGCCAATTTTTGAGGTTTTTCTTCAAACTTTTTGAAAAAATGTGTGCAATACAATTACGCATTAGTTTTATGAAATTTAACCCCTACAGAGCTAATTTTGTTATTTTTTTAAATAAAAAATTGCGCCCTTCATGTAAAATAGCCCAAAAAATGTTTCTGAAGAGAATCGAGAATATATTTTGAATATTTTAAGGATAGTTTTTCTGCCTTTTTTGCATGACTGGCGCAAATTTTTATATTCAACAAAACAAAATTAGCTATGTAGGAGTCGAAAAAAAACTCTGTAGCTCAAAAATTGGAGGCCCTGGACTATTTTTAACATTTTAAGCATCTGCGGGGCAAACGAACAATAAACAGTTAATTTTTTTGCACTAATTATTCGTTTTTAGACATATATAATCGATCTTCAATGCATGAGAAATGTCTCTTCAAAAGCCCACGACTTTTGAAATTCACAGTAGTCTCCTCTTCCGCGGAGAGAAATGTTCCGCAAAAATTACGGAACTCACAATTCGTTCACCGATTACGGAATCGACTCAGAAAATTTGAGTGACGGTATCGTAATTCTGCACAGGAGATTCAGACAAAAATTACGGAGCGTTCTGGAAAAATTTCGTGACAGTTTCGTAAAATTTCCCACAACCACATTTCGCTCCGAAATTACTCAAAAGTTCATCCCTATGGATTTCCAGAAAAAAATGTTTTCTGTTTTTCTATCTTCATATATTGCTGATGAAGGCAACAACAACAGTTTGAATCAAATGAGAAATTATTTGTTAAATAATTGCACGTATCAAAAAAAAATTTTTAAAAACCTCAAAGTTCCCCAAAGTTTTACCAGAATCTTCATAAATTTTACTTGAACAGCACTAGATTATTTCATAGCCGGTAGATTGTAATTTTTCCAGTACTAAAAACTTCTCTCCGTGTTCCCCCCATGTGAATAGCGACCGATAGAAATGCAATATTGAATGTTTTTACGGGTTCAATTCTCATTTTCACGAATTATCGAGATAATTTGACCCCAACTGCACCGCCAAACGTCAAATACTGCGTCTCTATTGGTTGACATTCCGATGAAGAGAATAATCTAAGTTATTCTAGGGTGAAAAAAATTGGAGGCTTATTTACTCTCAAGCTCGTCCATGCTGTCGTAAGTGAAACTTAGCTCTTTGCTAACGCAAGTGATAGGTTTCAACCCTACTGTCTCCAGATCATCCTTCACTATGTCCGCAGCGTTCGGCAATCCGTACAAAGCGGGTAGTTGCAGAAATACATCCTGAAAAAAATAGTCCATTTCATCGTTAGGCCGAAAAAACCTTTCCGGCGATCAGGGATGGCCATCCCTATTAAATTTCATCAATATTAAAGGAATTCGTGACTTATGTTGATAAAGGATTAAATATTCACGTCAAAATAAAAATAATATACGGAAAAAAAAGTTCCAGAAAAATTACTGTGCTAGCACGGTAAAATGGGTTTGTTTGCGAAAATTGGCTGTGGAGTACACGAATTTTTCACGGTAAATCCGAGAAAAATTCCTTTAGCGCACGGCAGAAATCCCGGTGCTGGCATGGGAATTTTTTAATAAACCTATTTTAATGTGCTACCACAGGAATTTTTCTGGAATTTTTACTCCGCGTATGATATTAATAATTTAAATTTGCGATTGATGATGAATGAAATATTTGATAATATATACAGTGTAAAAAATTTGGTGTCCGATCGGTGTCCCAATGAGTCCACACCGGATTTTTTACTGTGCATGAAACTGTGAATTTTCCATTATATAAGCAAATTATTCCAATTTCTTAACAGGGATTACCAATTGACCAAATAATCGGCAATCTTCCTACTGAAATTATCGATTAAAAAAATAGTTCAGAATTTTAATATTTAAATTGGCGATTACTAAAATAATTAAAAATTTAAGAATGATGTTAACTAAATAACAGCTTCCAAATTGAAGGGTAATTATGATCAATGAATATGGCTCTTCCTGCTGGCGATTATGAGTTTGTAGTCCGAGTCGAAGATGCGGGTTTCAATCATAAGTGAACTGGAAGTTTTTTTCGGCCGTGTGACGAACAATGTTTTTTTGTCATAACAGTCATATCCAGTGATTCGCGGACGCGTAACGTCCGTAAAGCGCTGCCTCGCGGCCAGAATGACAAAAAATTAAAATAGTATATTTAGATGCGAAAAGCAAGTAACAATTAACATCCCGAGTGAAACAAAAAACAACAGATACGGTAAAAACTTCAACTAAAATAACAGCATCATCAGGCAAGTATGGAAAGTATATTCATGCGCACGCGGCCCATACGTTGGCAATGACTTGAGAAAAAGTGGAGATTGCAAGTTTAAATTTGATATGATTCTAGCTCTCATAATATTAAAAGCTGGTATTGCGCCTATTACCTCCATGTATTTTTTATAGTCGTGATAACATCGATACTCCATGAACAGATCGAATACATCATGATGACTGAGGAACATGACAAGTCCCTGACCTCCTACCGCGAGCAGCCTCGACATGTTTCTCGCTGATCGCTGAATATTTTGGAAAGTGTGTAGATAATAAAATGATACGATATTATTGTACTTCTCAATTTCCTGTTCCGGAATTCTCATTCCTCCAATATCAATGTGCAGAAAAGATAGTCTCTTTTCCCCCTCGCAGCACTTTTTGGCGTATTCGATCATAAGTTCAGATTCATCAGCACCTTCAAGCGTGAAGACTCAAAGTAATTTTCATTCAGTAAAATTAATTAGTTCAACTCACCAACAAGGAGAGTATCCTTCGGTAATTTCGGCAGGATTATATCTTTCATCGAAATCCCCGGACCACATCCGATATCGAGACACATTCCGTGCATGTTCTTCAACGTATCTGAAAACTCTTCGACTAATTCGGAGGTTCCTTGATACTGCACCTTATATCCATTCAGGAATTTCTGAGGATCTCGGGAACACCTAGTCGCACCATTTTCGTCAATTTGAACTTCCGATTTCATTGTTTTACTCGAGAGGATGACGAACGTTCGTCAGCACTGGCGGATTTATTTGTAGAAGAGACGTTAGGATTCACCTTCTCTTATATGAAGTGGTCCCCACTGTCCCTTCAATCGTCACTATTCATAATGAGGCGCAAAAAAAGGACGCGTTTGTGGTAAAAGAAAAACGGGCAAAACACTGCTTAATAGTTGCATGCAAAATTGATTTCACCTTCTATTCTCGTGAGCTGTCTGGGACTAGTTCGATGTCATTGCGACTTCACCTGCCACGGGTGGTAATGAATTCAAGATAATTCACACTCGTAAAAATTTCCGGCTTGAATTTATCACACATGTATAGGATCTAATTTACATCGGAGGGTATTATAACATTATCATACTTCTTTTCTTGCATGGTTTGAGAATTTTTACACGGGAGATGGGAAATTTTGCGTCTTTGAAGATTATTTTCTCATACAGGAATAACAAAATTATGATTTGGTCGTATTGTAATTTAAACTCACAGTTTCGTCAAGTTTCCTCAAGTTTCGTCATGCGTGTATGAATTTTATGGTGTCCTTATACGCTGTTAGGTGTATATTTAATGAAGTGAAACTTTTTAATGAAATTTCATGGACAGTTGACTACTAATTTTCAGGACAGTGACACTGAATGCGATTTAGGGGGAAAAACATCATGAAATTTCAGATTTTACTGACAATTCAGTAAAATTCCAGAATTTTAAGCAGCATAAAGACCAGAATTCCTTAAATTATTTGAATTTCCAATCCAATACGAATATTCAGTGCCAAATTACATTGAACTTTCAGTGAAATCTGAAATTTCATGATTTTTTTCCCTCTAAATCGCATTCAGTGTCACTGTCCAGAAAATTGCAGAATATATTTACCGGAAATTTCTGGTTTTCTGAAATTTACAGTTCTCTTCGATTTTTCCACGTAACTCTGAGTTTTTAATTACGAAATTGCATAAAATTTCAGTGGTAATTAAATTCGATAAAAATTTCCAAAAAGTGTACCGGAAATTTCAGCCAAAAATTTTCAACAGTGTATACTATAGAGGAGAGTGGGGTAAAATGTACACTTGACTTTTTTAAAAATATTCGTAACGCAGAAACAGATTTATCAATTGCGCTCAGTCTAAACTCATCACAAAAGGGAATAATTGTTCTTTCAATTGAAAAATAACATTATTCCGTTTCATAAACAATTCGACAGGTCATGAACATTTCAAAAAAATTGAAAGTGTCAGTTTTACCCCACCCTCCCCTACTTTCTATAATGTATGAGAATTTTATGTTTTCGATCTTCATCTAAGCTGTGTTTTAATTTTCTCAAACAAATATGTTATAAATGTGTTGTAAATTTATGATTTCTTTAACGAGATGAATGAGGATTTCCATTGGATAGAATGCGTTGCATTACACGTTGGAATACGAAAATTCGCCAGGGACAAAATATGAAAAATCATCAAAAATTTAATTTGGAAAATATAATTATTTTATTTATTTATTTATTCCATTTCACCGTATACCTTTCGGTCTTTACGGGTTCTCATTCCTTTATCCCGTTTTTTCCGCATATTTGTTTTTCCCAAATGCTCTTTCCAGTTTTTCCAAACAATGTTTCTTTCCTGAGGTGTTCCCGCGCGGTCACCCATCCATCTAGTGACCACACTCAGCGCTGCTTAGCTTTCCATAGCTAAGCCTGCCCACCTCCGCAGTGCGCTAGCCCTGTAGGGCTTAAAATTATATTATATAACGTTCTACTTAAAATGAGACTTCCGGGAGTTTCAACATAACACAGCATCGTTTCCTCATTTGATTTATACAACAATTTTCATAAGAAATCAAACACAATGGATTACAGAAGAAATATTATTCAATTGGACAAAATAGTCTAAAATGATGAATGATATACGATAGAAGAAAATTATGTCCAAAATCACCATTCCTGTTAATGTATTAGGTTTAGGTAAAATAGCTATGCTATATGAAGACAAAAGCAATTTTCCACTTGTTTTTCTACTTGTACTCCATTGAATTATTCTCATCCACTGAAGGATGCCAAAGGTTAGAAGCTTCAAGGAATTCATCTCAACCAAATTCTTCTTAAATTCAAACTATTCAAATTATTTCAAGGTTTTTTGAATATCGCTATCAGCAATGAGATGAGAGTCTCGATACTGCAGTTATTGGAATCCTCATTCGATTTTCGGGACATGTACTCGTTCTTGATCCTTTCCTCCAAATCTTTTCTGTAATCTTTCTGGACATCATCTGGCATTCGTTCCAAAAAAGGATTGATAGACATCAGAAAATCTAGTCATCAAATCGGAAAATACATAATTTTACATTTTCTACATGAAGGAAATGTAGAGAATTGTTGTATGGAAATTTATCAAAAAATTCTATGAATTATGTCATGCACTGGCTTTTGAGAAGTTTTTCCCAAAATTCTTTTCTAGTAGAGAATGCAATTAGTCTCGTAAAAATGACAATATACACTTTTATAATTTATCAGAAATAATAAGACTGCATGCAGCTTATCATTACAAACGACTGTAACTTTTACTATAGTTATGGCATTTTTTATAAGATTCCCTGTGAAAATTTCGGAAAAGCCAATGTGTTGCATGATTACTGAAATTTCCGAGCAACTTGTTATTAAAAAATGTTCTTTCTACCTACTGACCAGACTATCCAAACTTAAATACATGAAAGTTTTCCATCTATTAGTACAGTGCAGTATCTCGAATCCAACCTCTTTCAAATCTTCCCTCAGCATTTCCTCCGCATTCGGATAGCCGTGGTGAGGAGGAGTGAATTTCAGAAAATCCTGGCAGAATTGAGGCTATCAAATGAACTTCAGAAATTTATGATAAATTTTACCTGCATATAGGCCGCAAACTTTGGATCTTTCTGCTGCTCCGAGTAGATGTCGAAAATCATGTAATGCGAAACCATGAGAACGATGGCTTTGCCTCCTGACCGAAGGAGTTTGTAAAAGTTTTCCATCGTGAGTTTCGTATTTCTACACCATTGGAGGCAATAAAACGAGACAGCATTATCAAATTGTCCGATCAAGTTATTAGATAGTTCAGGTGTTTCAATGTCTAATTGAATGAAGGACAGTTTATCTTTAAATTCATAATGTTGCTTCGCATATTCAATCATAGCCGCACATAAATCAGCACCTGGATACATGAAATTTCAAATTTATTTATTGGGGTCGTTTTGTGCATACAGACACAACGCAAGTTGAAAAGGGAAAATGAAAGGAAAGTGATTGACAATCTATCAAATCTTTGTGAGGGTCCCATTTTGGGGATGAAATAACCCAAAAGTTGGGTTGAGTTCTTAGTAATTCGGGGTGAATTATTCCCAATACGAGATTTTTTAATCCGATCTGGCGATAATCTGTTCTTTTCTGTGGTAATTAACTCGCGAGTAAAGAAGGGTTAACGAATGGTTCACTTGAAAGGTGAAAATCGAGTCAACAATAACTAATCCTTTCCATCAATGCTCCCTCGCGAAAAAAAAACTTATAAAAAAAACAAAACTTAGAATCAAATAAGGGATTTTGATCCTCTTGACCCTTGTAACCTTGCTGTACCCTGAGACCCTTGAGGCCCTAATAACCCTAAAGACTCGTCATAAATTGCAGAACACCCTCTAATCACGTGACGTAATATTTGAATGTCTCCAATGGTTTTAATTCAAGAACTCAACAATTTTGACTTTAACTCTGGATCACTCGCACTCGGCTGCCAGCCTTCATCCATCGGAAGTTTAACGCAGCGTCACTGGGTTAAACGGAGCGCGCCGTTGCCACTTTGGCGTTTACCATTACGCACACTTTTCAAGTGTGGCAGTGAATGTAGCAACCCTGTCGCTCGAGCGGTCAACATGGACTCGCTCGCACCGGCCGCGCGGCGCCGCTTCTCTATGCGTTCGACGTTTCTTTTCTTTTAGCTAAGGAAGTTTCCGAGAAAAAAACGGGCAACGTCAACGTTTAATAAAAGAACTCAGCTACGAATTCAACTCTGATTTTTTCAGAATTTTGAAGCGTCGAGAAACATGTTCAAATATTTAAAAAAAAAACGATAACGGGCGCCGGCGCGTTCTTTGGCCGAGTGATCGAGGGTTAACCTGTTGCCGCACGTCAGGCTGCCCCACTTTTCGTCGTTTTGCACTAGTGTGCATGCGCCGCCGTGCTTCTCTTATGGCGCACTAATACTCAGACGGACCCCCCACTTCCCTCACCCCGATACTTCTCGTGAATCCCATGCCGCAATGGGTTAAGGACCCAATAGCTTTTACTTTGAAGACGCAATGGTTCTTACTCTAAGAACCCAAAGGTTTCTCATTCTCAGTACCATACCTCCTAGAACCAAGATTTTCCTGAATTCAGTATCTTGGTGCTGGAAACTAAAACATTTTTTCTCTGTGCAGTTTAATCCTTACCAATGACCATAGCATCCTTGCCCACATTTGGAAGGAGCAAATCCTTCGTTATATTGCCGGGACCACAGCCAACGTCGATAACGCGACCCTGCATTTCTCTGAAATCCTCAGGAAATTCTTTAATTAGATTATTTACATCACGGTACTGCAGACCGTTGGATGCGGCGTACTCTTCCGGTCGGTTCATAACTAAAGTAGAACGAATGACTTGCTTCCTTCCGTCTTCATAATCTACTTCAATAAAGACTGGTCTATGATAATTAATATTATCTATTCTCGTTTATCAGGGCTGGATGACACGAAGGCCTTTCTGATATTAATGTATCGATATGTAATTGCATATGGACTCGTTGATGAGGAATTTGAAATATAATTTCAAGGTCACTTCAAGACAGAATATTTTTTTTATTTCACCGCGGACTGTCATATACAGATAATGTATTGGATAATATTTATCACTCAGTGATAAAGAACACCTAGATATTTTCTCCAATGGTCATTGACTATTTTGAAACGAATGCAGCTGATAACATGGTTCGACATTATTGCGGAGCATTTAAGGGGCCACCCTCAGTGGAAAGCCATACCTTACCTACTTATTTTTATAATTCCGATCTGATGATTTGTCTCGTAACTCTGTAGGAGTTTATCTTGGAAATGCACAAAGAAAAAAATGTTTCCGTTCAATTCTGTGTGGAAATAAATCATTCCAAAATCGGAGAGAAGCTCGTCACCACCGCAATATCAGTGGAGATGAACGGGGTTGAAATAATATTCGAGAAACACCACTGAATATAACTGTCACGTGTTTGTTTAATCAACACTTTTTAGTATTAATTAACAATCGTTGGAGTGAGTAAAACTATTAACACAATAGTTAACGAAATGAATTAATAGTTAAAGAATTTTATGAGCACTAGAGAAACCCAAAAAAATTATTTAAACAGCTCTGAGACGTTAATTAAAGCGCAAGCAAGTCAAGTTTCATTTGTCACTCTTCGACAGTAGATTATTACATTTTATTTTGTAATTTCTAGTTGTTTCTTCGGGACAATTCTTATTATGAGTTCCCTCTGAGTACATCAGTTAAATACCCTTCCCAAAATCAATTAATTATGCCCCAGATTTGATCAATTGCGTTATTGTTGAGTATGCGGACATACAGCATTGTCGGCGTGACACTTGCCAACAGAACTGGATTATGCTGACCAATAACGAAGTATCAACAATTAATATATTATTTAAGAGGCCATTTGAGCATCCACAGATCATACACTGATAGAAAGGATTAGTTATTGTTAACGAATGGATTTCGTTGGAGATTAGGGTCTATTAGGCCTCACCTAATGTTCACTCGTTAATAGGTCACAAATGCACATTTGAGGAGCCTTGTTTGACTCGATTCCCACTTTTCAAATGAACCACTCGTCAACTATTAACGAATATACATTTGGGCTTATTCAACGCTACCATTCGTTAATAGTTAACGAATCTCGATTGGAATAAGTGAATTGGCCTATCAGTGTATCTGAATTGGACTCCAACGCATTCAAAAGTCGTAAACTCCTTGTAATCAGTGGGATGGCAGTCACATAATAAATTCTCATATTTGAAGGCCGATAAACTATTGCTGGGATTTGTCCTTTAAGCCTAGAGCCTACTACAATTATAAGGCCCTTCCACCCGGAGTACAATGCATTTCACATCAATTCAGAGGTTTTTCGAATACAGCGGTTAGTAACGAGATGGAAAAATCGGCACTGTTCTCATCAGAATTCCCGCTTCTTTTCTTGGGGAGACCTATTTTGAGTCGTTTCTCCACGTCTTCTCTGTAATCTTCTTGGAGATCATCTGGCATTCGTTTCACAAATGGGTTAACGGACATCATGAAGTCTAAAATCGAAAGACGCACTTCAGTTTCTAATCTTTTGATTTATCTACACTGATAGAAAGCATTAGGTGTTGTTAACAAATGGATTTGGTTGGAGGTCAAGGTCTATCCGGTCTCACCACACGTTTATTCGATAATAGTTAACAAATGCATATCTGACATTCACCTTTCAGGTGAACCATTCGTTAGCTATTAACGAGTATTTGTTTGGTCATATTCAACTGTACCATTCGCCAATAGTTGACGAATCTCGTTTGGAATAAATGAATCATTATATCAGTGTATCATTATTATGTCCTGTTGTATCTATCCTTCGTCAATTGATAAAATTGTCGTTACACATCTTACCAATCAGCGCATTCCAACTTCGAAATGTAAAGCTTTTCCATCTATTAGAGCAGTACTGTATCTTGAATCCGACCTCATTCAAATCTTTTCTCAGCATCTCTTCGGCATTCGGATGGCCATGATGAGGCGGGAAGATCTCGTTTGAATCCTTGGAACATTCAAGCTTTCAAATGGACTTCGGGAATTTATGCTCACTTACCTGCATGTACGTCGAAAATTGCGCGTCTTTCGCCTGCTCCGCGTAGACATCAAATATCATGTGATGCGAGATCATCAGAATGATGGCTTTACCCCCTGGCCGGAGGAGTTTGTAGAAGTTTTGCATCGTGAGCTGTGTATTTCTACACCAGTTGAGGCAATAGAATGACACTGCATTGTCAAATTGTCCAATCAAGTTCTCGGGCAGTTCAGGTGTTTGTATGTCCAATTGAATGTAGGATAGTCTATGCTTCACCTCGTGATGCTGTTTTGCATATTCAACCATGGCGGCACACAGATCAGCCCCTAAGTAGAAATGAATTTCACTTTCTTGCACTGAGAAAAAAAATTATTTTTGCCAATTATTCATTTACTTGAGAGAAGCATTTATTTTTTCACAGTCGTATTCCTTTAATCGAGTCATGCCCAGGCGAGCCTGATTAATTTTTACTCTGATGTTGGCCGATTGGAATGCAGTATTTCGAGGAAAAGTCGAATGTAAAACTAGTTCAAAATTGCGGAATGAAAGTGTTTGGTAGCCTCGAGTATCGCGCTCTGATTATGACATCCGAAAAAAGACAAATTCAGTGAAATCTGAAATTTTATTATTTTTCCCCCTAAATCGAATTCAATGCCGCTCTTCTGAAAATTACTAGTCAACTGACCATGAAATTTTCATTTTTGCTTCCGAGTGGAAGCTTTGTAATGGTCCAATTTTCACATTTTCTAATTTTGATTGACAATTATGAAGATTGTTCTAAAATTGTAAAAATACGAAGTTTGACGGCCATGTCGTTATGTGAACACGTTCACCACCACTTTCCCAGTGGTCAGTTTTTGAAAAATAGAGTAATTAAGTGGCTAAAGTAATTCAAAAAAATGTAAAATTTTGTCAGATTATACGCCTCGATATGGACTAACTCTTTGCGAAATTTCAGCTCGACCAGTCCAATGGTTTTCAGAAGAAGCGATTCGCTTTTAAATCGTTTTTCACGAATATCTTAAAAATTAGTGGATCGATTCAGATTTTTTTCAAAATATTCGTCTCGATGTCCTCTAGATCAATCAAAACATATATACCCGTTCATGCAAAGTTTTCGAGATTTTCGGGAAGTTTTCGTTGTACACGCTCTAACTTGTGCAAAAATCAAGATATCAACTTGTGTTCTAAGAATGTACTCGATATTTTCACTTTTTACCATGCAAATTTGTTCAAATCAGGTGAGTTACGACAGGTCAGTTCGAGTGTATCTGAGATTGAGAATGATTTCTGCAGATCTAGAATCCTTACCAACAATAACTGCATCCTTCTCCACATTTGGAAGGAGTAAACCCTTCGTAATATTCCCAGGACCACAGCCAACATCAATAATTCGGCCCTTCATTTTCTTGAACTCCTCAGGAAATTCTTTAATCAGATCATCTACATCACGGTATGTTAGATCATTTGATTCGGCATACTCCTTCGGTTGATTCATGACTGAATTTTACAAAGTAACTGGCTTCTATTCGTGTCAATGAGGTGTCCCTTACAGATTGTTCAGAACTGATTGAATCAACACTTGTTGTTCGCCATTATCCATTTATTTCTTTGTTGATAAGAAATTTCATATCATTGTTGACAGGTTAGCAAAAAAAGATGATAAGCACAATGTATCGTGGGCTGTTATATGAAATGTGCAAAATCTAACGACTGGAGATAATAGTAACTGAAGAATATTTATTCTACGCTGATAAAGAATATCTGGGTTGGTTGAATGGCATCAATTATTACGTGGAGCTATAAATATTTAGGTTTTTGGTAAAATGTGCTGTGACATTATTTTTACATTCAAAAATTTTTGGCTCTACATTTTTCACGCTAGATGTGGTGAAGAGTATAGGCCGGTGAAGCGCATTGCAATGCAAACTCAAACGAGTTATTTTGCCAATTATCCATTCGTTTCTGAATTTTTCACCTTGTCCCAATGTTCTAAAAATTCACGGCAGCCATTGAGAAAAAGTTTGTGGCAAAAATTGTTTTCATCCTCACACGGGAAGAATGGAAAGATATTAATGAACTATTTTTATGTTGATACTGACGAACTGAGTGAAGAACTTGTGATAATGAGTCATCTTGTATCTTTATTTTTATAAATTCGACGAACAATGATTTAAGTGAAAAAATGGAAAGCAAATTTATATCCAAGTACTTTGGCTATTTTTTCTCCAGTGAAATGCTTTTCTACTTTTGTAATCGAACATCAGAGGTTTTACTTGAGCCCCATTTGATCCTAAGTTTCCGGAAAATTTACAATGATTTTATTATTTAAACTTTGCAGTTCTGAGTTTCAATCTCGATATTGAACCGTTAGAAAATACTTTAAAAATTTGAAAAAAAATTGGAATATTTAATTTTGGAGGAAAACTGATGAAATAATTTAAAATGGCAATTTTTGAAAATTATGAGCATTTTCTATAAATAATTTATAAACAATCACTTCACTTTCTACCATAAGAATCATTCGTTCGGAATCGCAACAAATTAATTCATATTTAGAATTTTACCAGAAATCGATTTCATGCCTAAAAAATAAGGTTTCCGAAATTTTAAATAATTTTAATTATTTATTTGAACCATCATTACATGAAGAGAAATTTTGTAGAAAAATTCTAGTGCTGGCACTGGGAATTTTATTTAGGAAAACGTGAATTTAGGATAACGTGAAAATTTCACAGAAATCCCCAGAAATCCTGAGAAATTTTCCCTTAATAGCACTAGAATTTTTCACAACCGGTGAATTGTGATTTTTTCAGGACTCATACTAGAATTTTTCTAGAAAACTTCCCTCCGTGTATTTATTAGTTTTCACCGAACGGTTAAAAAAATAATAATTCTGTGTAAAATGTAATTTGAATGACAATTCAATCAACAAATTCGATGATTGAGAATATTTGATTCTATACTATGGTCTGTACCAACTGTGAAAGATACTTAGATATCCTTAAACGACGATCTTCAAAACGTACGACAAAAATGCGAACGTTTTATAGGGTCATATCAATTTATTTTAGGATCATTTCATCGCTCACGTCACGATCTTGCACCGCACTTGCCGCAACCTACCGTTCTGGATGATTCATAATAGCTTGCAAAACATAAAAGCAAATTAATTGCGAATCAATCGCGGATTGATCCAGAAAATGAATTGTCGACAGCGATTAATTTATTCCGTCAGCATAATCGGCCCTAACGTACTCCGACAAACTGTGTCCATCCGCATTGTTGACAATTTTTATTGTGATAGGAATTTGCACGGTCGGGAATTGCAGAGAGTCGATGACCAGTCGCTTTTTAAAACCTTTTATTCATTCAATCATAAACAATATAGATTTTAAACTTTAACAGTCTCACTTATAAGTATTTTCATTCATTACGATACATTAAAAGATTGTTTATATATTACGATATATTATGCGCTTATTTATACATTAGATTCGTATTATATCGTCGTCGTATAGCCAAATGGGCGTAAGTGGTATGTATTCGCATAGCTGTTACGCCTTTTTGGCTCTACGACGATATGAAGTGATGCAGAATTTGTGAAATTCAACAAGTAAACATTTAAAACCAAATATACTACTTCGACTATGATAAATAATTCCTTGACTCCTAGAGTGGCAACGATAAAGCTATGGAATAAGAAGCCTTTTCTCCTCTGGTCTCATTGGGCATTTGGAGGCTTTCGGAAGTACGCTATCAGCAGGCTGTATCTGTCGAGGACGCTGTAGCTGTTTGACTTACCATTATTTCTTTCAAATAAAATTTTATTTTTGGTTATTTCTTTAGTCACTTCTTCTTTGTATTCGTCTTTGAGATCATCTGGTATTCGGCTCAGGAAGGGATTCACAGCTAGAATATGCTCTAGAAGAATTTTTTTTATTTCATTTTGGTTCATCACGAAAAAAAAATTTGAATTCAGTAGCGAAGCGTAAATCGGGTTAAGGCGATTTGGACTATTGGCCAGTTTTTGACGGATATCTCGGAATCTAAGAGAGATACAAAAATTTTTATCATTACCTTTTTTGTAGAGACAATTGAGGGTTATAAAAAAGATCGTGAGAAAAATTTTGCTATCTCTCCTAGTTTTCGAGATATTCATCAAAAACTGGCCAAAAGTCAAAATCGACGTAACCCGGTTTACCGCTTCGCTATTGAATTGAGTAAAATATATTTGAATCAAGTATATTTTATACTCAATTGGGGGATGGGTATTTTATTTCGAAGATAATTCTTTTGTATCAGGCCGGGTTGTAGCAGGCCCTCTTAACCCTCGATCGGTGAGTGTATTTTTTTCCGTGTATGTATTTGGTTTAAGATCATCCAAGTGCTATCCGTAAACGTCATGAAATTTTGCAATTTAATTGTGTGAGAAAAATTAAAGAAAATCATTCATGATCAGCATGATTTGAACTAGACTTTGCAACCTATTATTTTTGTTTCCCTCAGGAAAGCACTTTGGGAAATCATTGTGAACATGAATGAGTTTTTTACAAAGTTTGAAAAGTTATTTATGGAACTGAATAGTTATTGCTCATCAATTGCACTTCAAATTGTTTAAGTAATTGAATGGAAGTTGAATTAACGTTCAGATGTTCGTCGATTAATATTGAGAGTTTTACCGTCGAAATATTAATCGCAGATTTCCAATCATCAACGCGGTGGGAAAAAATGGAAATTTCATGGAGTGTTGGTTAGTAATTTTTAGGAGAGTAAAATATATTTTTCATTGACTTTGCAGTGAAACTACAAATTTCTGAGCAGTGGGAACACGAATTTCCCAACTTTCTTGAACTCACACTTAGAATATGAATATTCAGTTCTAAATTACGTTGAATTTTCTATAATATATTTACATGAATTTTCCCTTTTCATTTTATTTCTATTCATTCTCATGAAATAATTGAACTGAAATCCATAGCTTCTACTGATTTCTCCATAAAATTATAAAGAATTGCTCAGCGAATTCCCGAAAATTTTGAAAGGTGAAGTTGTTAATTATGAGTGAAAACTCACTAATAATCAGTGTTGTTTAAACCGGATTGTGCAAAAAAAAATTCATAATTGCTTTCTCATCAATAAATAATGGATTATTTAATTTCCATAAACATTTTTCTCTTTGGAAGAAAGGGCTTTCAAAAAAATGAATTTCACGATTTTACAATGTTTTTCAGATAAAAAAAAATGTTTCCTATCGTATGGAGAATCAAATTCCGATATTCAAAGCTTACACAATTGAATCGATATTAAATTAATCGTTATAGTCCTCGCCAAAAAAAAATGGGTACCTCCACTCTCGAATTTAGCCCCCACTCGTCGTCCCCCACCACTCCAATCCAAGACCATTCCCGGAGAGAAATTTTTTAGAAAAATTCTAGTGCTAGCACTGGAAAAGAGGCGCAAAGTGACGATCAGGAAAAAATTCCAGTGCCGGCATTAGAAATTTTACTGGGGAAAACGTGAATTTTTCCCCGTATTTATGTGAAAATTTCACAGAAATCCCCAGAAATTGTACCTGAAATACCAAGAAATTTTACCTTAACACCATATTTCACAGCCGGTGAATAATAATTTTTGCCAGTACTCGTACTAGAATTTTTATAGAAAATTTCTCTCCGTGTTCTTTCCTCGCGGCGATGATAATTTAGGCTTCAATAGAAGCTCTGAGGTTCAACTACAAATATTTAAAATGATTGAGAAAAAAAATGGTTCAAGTACTTGGATATCCTAATTAAACTGAGTGCAGTGAATAGGAGAATTTTTCTTTTGAAGTCTCAAAGTTTTATGAGACGGGAAATGTTGGGTAAACTTCTGATGAAATGAAAATAATTTACTTTGTAGAATTTCCAAGCTCTCAAATACGAAGGTTTTCTCCCTATTACTGCAGTGCAGTACCTCGAAGCCAACTTCCTCGAGTGTTTTCTTCATAGTAGCTCTTGGATTCGGGCAGCTGTGATAGGGTGGAATATACTTTCCAACATCCTGATGAGAGAGAAATTTCAACAAATTCGAGAAACCATAGACACACTGAATAATCAATTAGTTTACCTGCATGTAGGGCTGATATCGGGGATTCTTCTGGAGTTTCATGTAGGCGTCGAAGCCATTGTTGTAGGATAGAAACATTACGAGACCTCGACCTCCTGGCCGAAGAAGTTTATAAATGTTTTCAGTGGTGCGTCTCATGTTTTGGCACCAATGGAGACAGTAGAAGGATAAAACGTTGTCGTAATATCCTATTTGTTGCTTTGAAAAATCTTTGGATTCTATGTCCATGTGAATGAAGGACATGCGCCCTTCATTTTTGTATTTTTTTCTTGCAAAATCGAGCATTTGCTCAGAAATATCAGCACCTGGAGGGGAAATTTGGTGATTGACTTTTTTTTCTTAGTTGTCTTTCCGCACTGTTAAAAATTTTCGTTTGAATTTTCCGTGGCAAATTCCGGAAATTTTTATCGTGTTCAACTTCCACTGAAATTTCAGGAAATCTTGTCATTGAAAAATCAAATATTCCATTGATTTTCTGTTCAAATGATCTGGAAATCTATAAAATACTTGATTTTTCAGTTCAATTATTCTGTCAAAAATTTCAGAAAAATCAGGAGAATTCAGGGAAAGATTGAAAATTCATATTTTGTTTCTGAATATTTATGTTCCACTAACAATTCAATCAAGTTGTGAAATTTCCATCTCACTTCTACTGAGAACATGAATTTTCGTGAAGTCCACTTAAAACTTGAAATTGCATAACCATTTTTGCTCTAAATCCGTTTCAATGTCACTCTCATGAGATTTACTATGAAATTTTCCATGAAATTAAAAAAAAATTTTAACAGTGCAATATACTTGATATTTTTTTATAATAATAAATTATTTTCTCTCGTATACCTCTCGGGTTTTTACGATTTGTTCCCTTCCCACCCCCCAACCCCCTGTACCGCATTCGCCGAAGGACGAGGGAAAACCGCACCTCACCGGATCGCTCATGTGCCAATCCCATACTCTAATCACACAGCCACGGCCGTCGGTGATATATATATATATTTTTTTTTGTTTATATTAAATTCCATCGTATTTCATGATGGATCAAAATAATGGATTTCAAAATGATATAAAAAATTATAAAATTTGTGACAGTATAATACAATATTTTAAGGACATCCAAGTACTTTAGCTATTTTTTTCTTCAGTGAAATGCTTTTCTACTTTTGCAGCGAAGCTTTATGCACTCGAAGTTTACTTTCCGCACGACCTTACACTTTACGCCCTTCGCGCAAGGAGCCAAACACTTTACACACACTGCACCGCCGAAAAGTGAACTAGGCAGGTATTACAAAAAATCGGATGGGTTACGCGTGCGTGAGAAAAACTGGAACTTCACGCGCTAGTAACACGATATACTATTCATCTCATACAAAGATTGCTCTTTGAATTCTCAGAATAATAATGTTAGAAAATTACTCTTGACATTTCAGGTGAAAAAGCTTGAAACTTTCAACAATGACAAAGTTACATGAAATTTCTGTATATTTCTTCATTGACGAATCAGTTAATTTCTTGACTATTCAAGTAATTCTCGATTTTCAGGTCCGTACGGCACTTGAAAATTTTAAAAATGCAGGCAACAACTTTTTGAGTCCTCAATCTATTGAAAATTGAATTGTATATGATGTTCAATTTTCACGATGAGTTGGGAATTTGAAGTTTTCATTGAAAAATTAATGATTGTTTAATATGAAAACCCCAATTTTCGTACATTTTCAAGATGAATGAGAAAGTTTGTGAATGCTTTTACTTGAAATTGAATTCAAACTCAAAATATCGAAAATTCAGATGACGCTGACTGAAATTTCAAGAAATTTCCAACAGTGAAACAAGAAAAGAACAGTATATTTCGACACGAGTGTGTAAAAGTATTTTATTTTCATCCGGGGGAGGTGTGTCGCGCTCGCCGAAGGCCAGTGGCCCCTCGCAACACTCAACAAACCCTTTTCCCACAAGTGTCAAATCCTATTTTTTATCGCAACGTGTTTTCATCACAGCAGTGCACATACTGAGAAAAAAAATTGCTTCTGCCAAGGAATCATTTTGAACACGCAAGTTCATTATTTTTTAATTTTTCCAAATTTGAAATTTTCTTATGTACAATAATTTGAAATAATTCAGAATGTTAATAATAATCAATGGAGTTGATCAAGGTCATAGCAGCTTAATCATATCACAATTCCACATAATTGTAATATTTGGAGATCGACTTGGGCCACTTGGGAATGACTGGCCTGGAGAAATGCGCTCCGAAAAAATTAATTCTTCGCCCCAAAAAACTATTCTTTGTGCGTGCGTAAAATTTCCAAATGCCCAATGGTCAAAGAACCCTTTTCCCGCAAGTGTCGAACCCTATTTTTCATCACAACGTGTGGAAACAAGGATTTTGCGCACGCACTGAGAAAAAAAATTCCTTTACTAAAGACAATTTAGACCATTAAAGAAAATGACCAAGGAATCATTTTCTTGGGAGAAGAATTCATTTTTTAGCAGCATATTTCCCCAGGCTAGTCATTCCCAGATGTGCTCTATATGACCTTGAATGAACACCCTTCATTATTTCTCAGTTTCTCAAATTTGACACTTTCTTATGTAAAATAATTTGAAATAATTCAAAATGTCAATAATTGTCCATGGCGTTCCACAATTCAACATAATTGTAATATTTGGAGATCGACTTGGACCACTTGGGAATGTTTGGCCTGGAGAAATACGCTCCTGAAAAAATGAATGCTTCTCCCAAAAAAAATAATTCCTTGTGCATTCGTAAAATTTCACTCTACGCACAGGTGATGAAAAACTATTCCAAAAAATTCGAATAATTGGGTTGAATTTTTTCATGCGCTTTGAACGGAAATATACGCAAATGTACCTACCAACAATAGTAGCATTGCTCCCCAACTTAGGAAGAATCAGTTCCTTGGTGACGTTTCCCGGACCACATCCAATATCAATGCATCTCCCCTGCATCTTTCCCAACTCATCAGTGAATTCCTCAATCACTTCGCGGGCATCTCTCCTCTGCATGTCACTCGCCTCCGTATATTTTTCTGTACTATTCATGACTACCGAATGTTTTGAATAACTCAATAAATTTGAATACTTTATAAACTGCTACAGAATCCCACTGAGTCGATTAAAAGATTCGAAATGTACAAATATACGTAGAAACACTTAATTATATTCAATGATTTGAGGCCCGCTCTCACAACTGACAATGAGACCACCATATTCTGGGCGGCTGTATTTATGCGGTACTAATTTCCACCTCTCACCAGCTCTTCCATTCTCATGATTTTTATTTTTATTTTTGAACCCGGACCCCTGACGTCTTACATTGGGCTTTCCCCTAAATGCCCTCCACGCAATAACCCGAGAGATAACACGGAGAACACGGAACGGAAGATTTTAGTGAATTCAACGTATGGTGAGACCATACTATTTGATAATCTCTTTAGGACGAATAAAACGTGAAAATTCGACCTTAGGTCAGCACTTTCATGGTGATATGTGAGTACTGTTTCCCTGGAGGAACCATTTGATTGTGGAGGGATTGTCATTGATGATGTCTTCGGTGTAGTATAAGTGTTGTAGCCTATGAGGATGCTTATTGAGCGGTTTTTTAGAAAGAATTGCTCGACACTTTTCTGCACAGAGAACAATTTCTGATAAAAATTACCCTTAAGGATGTCCAATATCTTTTACTGTTTGGTGCAGACCGCTCTATAGATTCAATCATTTTCAGTAAAAACCAAGTGCGGTAAAAAATAATTTTATATTTTTTCCGAACGGGAAAAGAATAATTCTACTTTTTTAATATTGCGTATATTAAGGTTTTTTTCGATCAAGGTTGAGAGAGAATTAAGGATATCCTAGTATCTTTTACAGTTTGGTACAGACCGTGCTATAGATTCAACTATTTTCAATCATCTAATTTGAAAATTTCACAATTTGAAAAAAATTATGAATATTCAGCATCATCCAAATTATATTTTGCACAAAATTATCATTTTTAAAACATTCGTTGTTTAGAAATAAATAGTTCAAATTGTTTAAACTATCGGAAACCTTATTTTTGCTTTCGAATGGAAGCTTTGTAATCGTCTGATTTTCACATTCTCTGATTTTCATTGGAAATGATGTAGAATCGTCTCAAACGTAAAAATACGAAGTAGGTAAAATAATCCCGCAACAGTAAACTTTCAAATTTTTTTTTCAGATCTTTAAAATGTTTTCTAACGGTTCAATATCGAGGTTCAAATTCAAACCTGCACAGTTTTGATAATGTAATTATTGTAATATGTCTGAAAACTTAGGGTCAAATGGGGCCCAAATGAAAGCTCTGATGTTCGACTATAAAAGGAGAAAAGCATTTCGCCGGAAAAAATAGCCAAAGTAATGTATATACTTAGGAATATATATTACAGTAAGAATAGTATGTTTTACAGTTTGGTACATACCGCATTATAGATTCAACCATTTTCAATCATTTTTTTTCTTCTCGTATACCCTTTCGGGTCTTTCCGATTTGTTCTCTTCCCACCTCCCAACCGCCTGTACCGCATTCGCCGAAGGACAAGGGAAAACCTCATTTGAGGGAAAAACCTGCCCAGGTACATTCGTCTCTTGCGAGACTCCCGCTCGACAATGAAACCGTGAGATTTAGAGTGTCACAAATTTTGCCCCCCCCCCCCCCCCAGCCGGGAATTGAACCCGGGTCTCCCGCGTGCCAATCCCACACTCTAACCACACATCCACTGCCGTCGGTCCATTTTCAATCATCAAATCTGTCATAAAATTGCGTGAGAAAAATTTGAAAAAAAAATCATGGCTATTCAGCATTATTTACATTACAGAAAAAATCTCACAGAAAAATTCAAACAGAAAAATCAAAATCTATTGACTTTTCCCTATCACAGATCTAATAGAATGTGCGCAAAAAACAAATAGAATTTTAACGAGAATTTCCGGGAATTTTAAATGAATTCCCATAGAATTACTAGAGGACTCAAATAGAATTGCCATTTTCGCGTTCAAGGATCATTAATATTTCAGTAACAACTTGAATTTACCAACTCATTGAGAAAATTAAACATTATCTTTAACAGGATTAATTTTGATTGTCATATGGGTCGAAAAATTAAAAATTGATTAAAAATTCCGAAAATTATTTAGGAATAACGGAATGTACGAATATTTCATGACAGTTATTTGTTGTTAAAAATTCCTAAAAGTCACAATAAACGAAAAGGGTAAAATTATAACCCATTTTATTTTATATTTTTATCTCATTCGTTCAGCCTAGAAAATCTAGATTAATGTTCCAACTTATTCCAATTACATCAGAATGTCTCCCAATTTCATGCTAGGTCATGAACCTCTAGAGCATCTGAGGTCATCAACCCCATATGTGAGTAAAAGGGCTTTAGATATGATTAGATATTTATGAGTAGGTCTTTGGATACCTCTCCCTCAAATTCAGTTGCAACAAAAAACAAAACTCGCTAATATACACTGAGAGAAAAACAGCAGAGTTCTCAAACAAGTCTTACTTGTGCCAAACAAATCGTTTGTTAAAAATGATTTTTTGTGCCAAACATGCCAAGCGTGTGCCGAGATTGAAAATTGTATTGCAAAAATAGATTTAATCTTTTATAAAAAAAAGATTTAGCCTTTTCAAAAAAATTGTATTCTCTGTGCAAGAAATGTACTTTCTAGCAGTACTTCTTCGTTATTCGATGCTCTCATACGCATTTTGCTCCCGGCAAATGCTCATTTTAAATGAACTAAATGAAATAATAATAATGATATGAAAGCAATCTTGTAACTTAGGGACAAAATATTTTTTGATAAACTTGCCTCTATAAGAGATATTTTTATTCTGAAAAGGCACCGTTTTGATTTATGATTTTGTTGTTCCAAACAAGACTTATTTGAGAATTTCTTCGTTTTTCTCTGAGTGTACGGATTCACAATTTTTACTGTGTTCAAAAAATATAAAGAATAATTTTATATTTTTTTCATGTACAGACTTTTTTGAAAAATATTATTTCTTCGTGTCTAGGACATGTCATGAAGCCATTTTCACCCAAAATGAGGAAATCGAGAAAAGGAAATCACGAACACATATGCCTCCATTTGAAAGTAAAACAGGAAAAGAAGCAAACGGATTCCAACCCAGGGGCGTAGTTAATGATAAACTATGAGGGTCAGTCGTCATGAATTATTTTCATTAGTGAATCCCAATAGATTGTTGCATTGAGCGCTTCCCATAGTAACTCTATTGATGAAAGTCTAATTCTGGAGCGCATTTGGGAAGCTGTAGAACCAGTTTGATGACCCTTTTGTGTTCCCCCAAATGTAACTGACCTACGCCAGTGGCACCCTGCGGTGACAAACAGGTTTTTCCAAATCTATTCTACTATTGTCGCCCGTGGTATGCCGTTTATAAATTGGGGGTATTTTCATAAATTGAAGGCCAAGACTCCGGAACATTTAGAAGAATATCTGGTGGTGAGTGATTTGATTATACGTGAAAACATTTTACGTTGCTTCTAACAGATCTTCTTTTTGTCACTTACACTGAGAGGAATGGTTTATTTCAATTGAATGGGCTTCATTTGGATTAAGTAAATGGGCTTATTCAGATAAGAGTTTTCATTCAAACTTCTTGCATTTTCAATTAATTGAAAATTCGTCGTAATTTCACACTGAATATTCATGATTTCATTGAAAAGTCAAATAGATTGAGGAATTCTCATCTCAAAGTCATTCAAAAATTTGGAATTTCATTAAATATAGCTTCGTTGCGTTGTAACAAGACAAAATCAGAGAGAATAATTGACAGGCAACTGAGGAATTATCATCGTGTTGATAATTCACTAGTAGCCTGGTGAATTATCGAAATATAATCGACGCGTGAGTGTCACGTGACCTCCAATACTGCGTTCTGATTGGGCGAACGGAGGAGGGAGAAAATTCTCGATATAATTCTCGTCTCATTGGTCCATAGACATGAAAACCACCAAAGAATATTCTATTGTTCGGAAGGGTGATGATAGAAATAACCAGTGAAATCTGAAATTTCATAATTTTTTCCTCCTTAAGATGTTTCGTGTGTAGATCACCGGGGGGTGAAACGCAAGGGGAGTCTTATTGTTCTCGATTCCTGATTCAATCGCTGAGCACGAGATTTCCCAATTTTTAAGGAACTATTGAAGTGTGCACTTGATCATTTTTTGAATATTAATTTTATTTATCAGATTGATTGATTTTTTTCTCATCACCTGCGGGTGTCAAATGATTTTTATTGGATGTTATTCTAATTATTGAGATAACATTAAAATGCGTCTCGAGTTGGTAAACCTGTCGAGTGTTTTCTCTCTCTCAGTTCCATGGTCCAACCCATAGCTTTCCCATGATGCTCACTGACATTCGAATAACGCGCCTGCGCGTGAGGGCGTAATTGTCCCGAAACTCATAATTTTCCGAATCATTTGTTCAAATAACTTTCTTATGAAACCTGAAAAAAATTTGAAACTCATACGTGTTCTCAAGAAAGTTTTGATTTATCAGCCACTAGTTTTTTCTCAATAGTTTATCATTTTTTTGGGTGCCATGGAAATTTCCCTTATTGAGAGTGGGGTAATCTCGGAGGTTATAGCTGGAGGAGTTACAAAAACACCCAAATTTCATGATTTTTTTTCATGAAACCGAGATCTGAAGAAAATGTGCAAGAATTCTCAATGATGCAGCATACTTAGAAATTTCGCCCATGCATTTTTCAATTTTTTTTCATTATTTTGACTTTTCAACCGAAACACCTTAAGGATGTATTACACCCTTTTCGTCAAAATTTATGTTTTTTGAATTTTTCTGTTGAATTGTTGATCGGATTGACGTGAAAAAATATACCGTTTTTGCGTTTTATAATTACTTAATGGCTCACGAAATTCCACGATCGTACGATCATTTTCCTGCGTTTTTTCTAAAACTTTTCGAAAATTCACAAAACTTTAGAAAAAATGTAGGAAATTGATTGCACTACCATGAAACTTCGTGAGTCAGTCAATAATGATAAAACGCAAAAACGGTATATTATTTCGCGTCAATCCGATCAATAATTTGCCAGAAAAATGAAAAAAAAACGTGAATTTTGGCCGAAAAGGTGTAGTACATCCTTAAATCGCATTCAATGTCACTCTCC